CCAACCCTGCTCCTGAAGAGCTACTGTCCTGCAGACTTCAATTCCAACCTGATACAACACAACTGCTTGCAATTGTCAAGCAACCCTTAACACCTTGTTAGCTGGTACATGTATGTTTGGTTGAGGTTGGAGGTGAAATGTACAGGATGGTAGCTCTGCAGGAGCAGGGTTGGAGACCCATGCTGTAGAACCGAGGTTCTCAATCCTGGTTTTGGAGAACCCCCAACACAGCACGTTTTTAATGCCTCTCTTATCTGACACACACATTTGAGGTCTTGGAGTCTTTACTAATGAGCTGATGAATTGAATCAGGTGTGTTTGATTAGGGCGACATCTAAAATGTGCAGAGTGTGGGGGTTCTCCAGGACCAGGATTGAGAACCAGTGCTCTAGAACTGCGGTTCTTAATCCTGGGCCTTGTGACCCCCCCTGCTCTGTACATTTTGTATGTTTCTCTTATCACTTCAGAGGTTTGTTCCATTCGACCGCAAGTGCACTGCAAAGTGGACTTCACAGGATATTCCGTCATGATTCCAGTTCGAAAGGAGCATACATTTTCCATTCAAAGGGCATTAAAGTTGTGTGAGACCTGAACTATGCAAATTTCTTGATTACGGTTAAATAACCCTTCACACTTCTGAAGTAAGTTTTGTCTGTGTGTGAAGACGCTGCAGGGAGTGATGTAGTGCAAATCTGTGTTCTTAAGTGAACTTCAGCCAATTAAGAACTGTTGCTCTAGAATATTTTGTGTTCCACCATAGCTTTAGGCATGGCAACAGGCATGGGCAAACTCGGGCCGGTGTCCCTGCAGAGCTTAGCTCCAACCCTAATCAAACACACCTGAACAAGATAATCAAGGTCTTGCCAGGTATACGTGAAACTTCCAGGCAGGTGTGTTGAGGCCAGTTGGAGTTAAAGTCTGGGTCAAATTTTTGGTCAACTAACCCAGTGATTCCCAACCCTGTTTCTGGAGGCACACCAACAGTACAAATTCTGAATGTCTCCCTTAATTAACCCATTAATTTTAAGTCTTGAAATCTCAACTAACAAGCTGATGAGGGGAATCAGGTGTGTTTGATTAGGAAAAGTTAGAAAATTTGTAGTTTCGGTGTGCCTCCAGGAACAGGGTTGGGAAACACTAAACCAGGCATATCCAATCCTGCTCCTGGAGAGCTACCGTCCTGCAGACTTCAGTTCCAAACTCGCTCCAACACACCTGCCTGTAATTATCAAGCAACTCTGAACACCTTGATTAGCTGGTACAGGTGTGTTTGGTTGGGGTCGGAACTGAAATCTGAAGGAAGGTAACTCTCCAGGAGCAGGGTTGGAGAGCCTTGAATGAAATTAACCCTCCTCTTCCAAACAGCCGGAATTGTTCATTTTAATCAACCTCTGTGTTTAAACTCGGACACGTGGGCTTTCTTTCAGGTCAAAGTGGAGCTGGGAACAATTGGGCCAAAGGCCACTACACAGAGGGAGCAGAGCTAGTAGACTCAGTTCTGGATGTGGTACGCAAGGAGTCCGAGAACTGTGACTGCCTGCAGGGCTTCCAGCTCACACACTCCCTGGGCGGAGGCACTGGTTCTGGGATGGGCACCCTCCTCATCAGCAAGATCCGTGAGGAGTACCCTGACCGTATCATGAACACTTTCAGCGTCATGCCTTCCCCCAAAGTGTCAGACACAGTGGTGGAGCCCTACAATGCTACGCTCTCTGTGCACCAACTGGTGGAGAACACCGACGAGACCTTCAGCATTGACAACGAAGCACTCTACGACATTTGCTTCCGCACACTTAAACTTACCACACCTACTTACGGCGACCTGAACCACCTTGTTTCAGCAACAATGAGCGGAGTCACCACCTGTCTGCGATTCCCAGGTCAACTTAATGCCGACCTCCGCAAGCTGGCAGTCAACATGGTGCCCTTCCCTCGCCTCCACTTCTTCATGCCCGGATTTGCGCCCCTGACAAGTCGGGGTAGCCAGCAATACCGCGCTCTTTCAGTGCCAGAGCTAACGCAGCAGATGTTTGACGCCAAGAACATGATGGCAGCCTGCGACCCGCGACACGGCCGCTACCTCACCGTGGCAGCCATCTTCCGTGGCCGCATGTCCATGAAGGAGGTGGACGAGCAGATGCTGAGTGTCCAGAACAAGAACAGCAGCTATTTTGTTGAATGGATCCCAAATAACGTCAAGACGGCAGTCTGCGACATCCCACCACGTGGGCTAAAAATGTCCGCCACGTTCATCGGCAACAGCACAGCCATTCAAGAGCTGTTCCGCAGGATTTCAGAGCAGTTCACCGCCATGTTCAGACGCAAGGCTTTCCTGCACTGGTACACTGGCGAGGGAATGGATGAGATGGAGTTCACAGAGGCAGAAAGCAATATGAATGACCTGGTCTCTGAGTACCAGCAGTACCAAGATGCCACCGCTGACGAAATGGGCGAGTACGAGGAGGACGATCTTGAAGACGAGGAGGATGCTCGCCATTGAGACAGCTGATAGCCAAGTAGATGTAGTTTTCAAAACCATTGCTTTTAGTTGATCTGACAATTTCCATAATGTAAAACAGTGCCGCTACGCCATAATTCAAAAGTTGCTACTGTGTTTAATTGATGTTCAGGAAAGATGCAAATTAAGTCATTCAGTGAACAGCGATCAATCCATCTTGGGGAACAAAGGGTACATTAAGACATGTTTTGTAACGTATGCTTCAAACTGCAGTTGCCAAATAAAATAAAGTGGTCACTAATATAAATTAGTCTCCTGTCAAAATGGTTCCATTCATTTTTACACATTCATTAATTAAACTCAATCACAAAAAATAAAAAAATCTGACCTTTAGCCGGATGACTATAAGTAAGGTACATAGGTTGATTCCCCTAAAGCAGGGGTTCTCAACTCTGGCCCTCGAGGTCCACTTTCTTGCAGAGTCTAGCTCCAACCCTAATCAAATACACCTGAACAAGCTAATCAAGTTCTTCAGGATTTCTAGAAGGTTACTGGCAGGTGAGTTTGATCAAGGTTACAGCTAAACTTTAATGCTGTGACTCAACTGTGTCACAACACTGCTGTTTGAGGATCCCGACCAGCCCGACTCACCAGTGGCCTAAGTTTGGGGGAGGAACTACCTGTTTGTCAACCAATGGCAGATGGAGGGAGGTTAATGGGAAACCTTTCTTAAAACATGCAAACAAGAAAGCAGGGTTGTCAGGTCAGCGAAACCATCCCAATTGCTATTCAAAACTATCCCAAAACTAGACCAATCACATTTTTATGTGGGTTTCCCCTCCATCAGGGGTCTCCTCAGGTGGAATAGCATTCTGGGGGCGACTGCTTTAACCCGCAGCAAGAGTGTAAAACAATGCCCAGAAAGTGGCACGTCTGGTAACCTTAGTGTAAAAATAGCCCAATTCAAGAAAGCCACTTAAAGAGTTAGTTCAACCAAAAATGAAAATTCTGCCATTAATTACTCACTGTCGTTCCAAACCCGTAAGATCTTCAGTACACAAATTAAGATATTTTTGACAAAAAACTGAGCATAGAAAACACGTCCAGAAACGTAGCAAGGACATCGGTAAAATAGTCCATGTGACATCAGGGGTTCGACCATAATTTTACGAAGCAACGAGAATACTTTTTGTGCACAAAGAAAACAATAATAACATAATCAATTCTTCTCCCCGAGTTACCATTTTGGAGAGTGCCCCAGAACGTAATCAGCATTGTTTACGTTCTGTAGAAAGCGCGCACATGCTGAACGTAAACAGCACTGATTACATTGATTACGTTCTGGGGCACTCTCCAAAATGGCGGAAGACAGTAACTTGGGGAGAAGAATTGATGAATAAATTGTGTTATTATTGTTTTCTTTGTGCACAAAAAGTATTCTCATAGCTTCGTAAAATTACGGTTGAACCACTAATAGCACATAGACAATTTTACCGATGTCCTTGCTACGTTTATGGACCTGGGAACATTGCAGTTGCATTGCTGTCTAGGGAGGGACAGAGAGTTCTTAGATTTCATAAAAAATATCTTAATTTGTGTTCCGAAGATGAACGAAGGTCTTACGGGTTTGGAACGACATGAGGGTAATGACAGAATTTTCATTTTTGGGTAAACTAACCCTTTAAGACGTGTTCGTGTTTACATGTACTGTTAGTGGCTACCTCTTAATACCTTTATACCAGGAGTGTCCAAACCTGTTCCTGGAGGGCCACTATTCTGTAGAGTTTAGCTCTAACCTTAACTGAATACTCCTGAAGTTAATCAAGGTCTTAAGACTCACCAGAAACTTTGGCTAGGTTTTAGCTAAACTCCAGGATGTTGGCCCCTCCAGGAGCAGGATTGGACACTCCTGGTTAATACAGTAAATATTCAGCCTTCTCCACCTGACTTTACTACCATATTATGAAATATCCTAGTCAAACAACTTAAGCTTGGTTTACACTACACAACGTTTGCCCAGATTTACAGTCTGGAGGAGTAGACGGTAGAGACAGTCTGGAGATTTTGGTCACTCGAAGTCGACAGATTTTTGCAGAAAATCGCATAGGTGTAAGGTGGTCACAAACACCGATTTCTTAGCTTCAAACTAGGATTCCACCTAGACATGTTTGATATTTTTAGACAATTTAGAATGCATATGGTTTTAATTTGCCATGCATATTTTAGAAATGAGGCACATGTCTCTGTGTGAGTTTGTTGTGTTCAGAGCAACTTAAAAGTCTGATAGTGTGTGATCCTCAGTCATTTAGTGTATCATTTACAGTCAGCAAGGGAATTTTTGTTGGTATTTTGTCCATAAATTGTTGACTGGATTGTGCAAAGTAAGCGTCACACATCTGATTGTGATTGGCTCAATTGCTATGTGGCCTTACATATGTCAGCAGAGAAGGGAGTCATATCATAGGAAGACAAGTAACATTCATTAAAGAAAAAAATAGGGTCAATTATGATTTCATGCCAACTTTAAAAACACAAATAGATCTTTAATTTTCAAATCTTTCAAACTTTATTGCACTGATTTAAAGAAATTGATCTTTAAATGTGTAAACGTGTTCTAAAAGTAATTCTATCAAAGTCATTCTTGATTTTTCAATATAAATATTCAGCATTCAAGTGGAAAAAAGCCTGTTCTGTGTCTTGCATTAAAAAAAGATGTGATCAATACATAGTACTTAGCATCACTAAATTATAATAAAAGTACAAAACTAAATGTGAAACCCAACCCAAAATAAGTGTTTTTGCAACAATGGCAAATCAAAATATCAAATTATATTAGTATTTAAAAGCTACATCAAACATCTCTCCTCTTAAAAGTGCTTAATGAATTAATGTAACATTTACAGCTCACAAAATCATCACAACCTGATTTAAGGTATATTTTTTAATTACCTTATAATTACTACTACACAATGCACATTGGCCACTTTACATATTTATGAGATTTAATGGTGGCAAATGCAAATGATTGTCTCCGAGATCAGTCTGATCCAGCAAAACACACTATCTGTTTTATTCAACCCTAAATCCCTAAAGGGACAACACAGCAAAGCCGATGAGGAGGTAAAGGAGCAGCTGGTTCGTCATGCTGTGATGGGGATGAACGAAAGACTTACAATTACGACAGTTTGAACAATGGAGTGTCTCTTCTGTAGTGTTTGACCAGTGTAATACTGACATGCCATCAGATGGGGCTGTTCTCGTCTCGGACCAATGAGATGACACTGCAGTCTGTAGAACAATTACGCAACCGTGACTTTGTCGACATCTCACCGCTTGGACATTTCCCGTGGCCTCTGGAGAGACAGAAAACAAATGTCAGCTCTATTAACACAGAAAAGAATTCGATTCGATTTTTGGTCAAGCGTGAACGCGAGGAGTTTTCCACTAGTGCTTTCTGCACTGCCTCTGGCGGTCTGAAGAGAAAGGAAAAAGAACAGAATTTTGCTCTTGAAATTAAATAAACAAACTGAAAATCAAACATAAAAAAACAAAAAAAAAACAAACTTGTTTTATTTCAGCTAGTTGTCAAAGCAACATTTCTCATTTTCATTTAGTTTAACTTGATGTACTAAAATGCCTAAAACCAATAGTGAAACAGAAAATGAATAAAAACTACATAGACTTTTAAAGAATAATAACAAAAACAAAATTATGAAAACTTTTAAAGTATAAAGAAATCAGAAAACATTAAAACCAATTCAAAATGTTAATCAAAACAAAAATAGTCTCTCAATGATACTAAAATAATAAAAGTCCCATTTGGTAATACTAATCAAAAGTTCAAAACACACTTGCGGTCTTCATACCCACTTTGCAAGTGTGGGTAATGAGACAGGTGCTTTGGCTTCAAAAGACCGAATGTAGCACAGCAGCCTTGTGTATCATTTTCATGGTGCTTTTACCATCATGTGTTTGTCCTCATTTTTGGAGCTTGACAACTGTGGTCTTTTACCTTGTTATAAAGTAAACGACCTGTGTGAAGGGTTGGAATGGTGTAAGGGTAAATTCATGACAGAATTTCCATTTTTGGATGATTTGTGGCACGTGAGAGTACCTGCTGTCTGGGATGAGGTGCAGCGTGCGGTAGAGGTCAGCAGTGGAGGGCATCTTCACCGAAGCTGCTTTAGGGGTGGAGAACAGGGACTTGGTCACGAGCGGTGGAGTGGGCTGCAGTTTGGCCTCAGGTTCTGTGCCTAGAGATAGACACACGAACTGTGAACTTCAACTACCAAGTTCTATGAACAGAAAAGCGATGCATTTCACAGATTCATAAACTGATCACCAGTGAGCAAGTGTCAGACGTGGGATGTTTTGTAGGGTCTCAGGGACACTCACCAACTGATAATGCACTGTGAGGTTCAGACAATGCAGGTCTTTTACGGTCTACAAATGGAGTCATGTTCAAAAACTGGGTCTTCAGCCATGCAGCTCGATCTTCTTCAAATGCTTTCCTCTAAAGAGGGAAGAAACTAACAGGAGTTAGGGGCTGTTCACAAAGAACATCTGCTCGAGTTAAAAACGGCCGGATGGAGTGCAATGTACCAAAATTTCTGCAACCAAAAGCTTATAGTGTCAGAGGGCCAAAAATCCCTGCCCATGGTTTAATTAGCTTTTTCTTTTTTCTCGGATGGTGTGTTTTGATTGTGTCAGTGTCTTTGGTACGCAAACAACACTGACACACTGCAACAGGTAAACATGTCAGCTGTATGGATGTGAAGAGCTTTCAGTTCATTGTTAGAAGAAGCTATGGACTCGGATGATGAACAGATGTTTTACTCCGATGTTGAGTGAGTTAGTTTGCTTATTTATTTAGGCCATATCAGCCGCAAGGCTATCTTTAGGCAAAAACAGATAAATAACAAGTCATGCAAATTACCCAAAAAAATATATATACATATATAAAAAGATATTTAAGATTAATACTAGACAAAAATTCTAAAATACATTCAGGTGATACTTTAAATATATCAGCTAAACACATCTCCGAACATTAAAAACAGTGACAGTCCAGTCCGGTTTAACAGGAATTGTAGTTTGACAAGGAAGGCATGATGTTGGTGGTTCAACTTCTAATAAATAGCTTTGTGTTTTGTAAGTCTTAAATGGCAACTTGATCATACCTAGATTTGAAATGAGTAATTTTTTAGATTTACTTATTTCCGTGGCATTCATCCCATTCCATCTGCCACACAAGAGTTTCTCGAAACCATTCAAGGAAAATTAGATTTCTAAATGCATGCCTCCTTTAATGTTAATTGTAATAAATGTATTTGTATGTATTCAGTACCTCGTGTCCCAGACGAATAGCAGCTTCAGTGAAATTCTTCCTCTCTCGCTCAAAGTTCCTCTTCTGCTCATTGAAGAGTCTCCACTCCTCTTTGAGCCGCTCTTTCTCCTCCAGTGTGTAGCAGTCGTTCAGCAGAGCTGCCGTCTCCTCATCGCACGGTGAGCTCAGCTGCTGCTGCAAACACACACCAGACTCAATACAGCCGCACGTCTACAGGCTTTCTGCAAGCTTGATGAAGGAAAGTTTAAGACCTTTTAAGACCAATTAAAGAATTTAAGGAACAAATTCAAGGGAACAGTGTATCACTATGTTCTGTAAATGTAAATGTCTGAGGAGAACACAATGAAATGTATTAGAAGCACTTCAAAAATTGAAAATATAACTTCCATAACTTAATTTTATGAAAAAAAATGGCTTAGCTAGAATATGGAAATAACTTTTACTTTACCTTCTGATCACACTACAAACATTGATGTTCTTCCTCAGTATTTTTTGTCTTGCTTTCCAGTGCAAATGTCTAAATATTCTTAAATCACCATGCAAATATGAGATGAGATAAGTCTCGTTTTCTGAGAAATTTATCAAAATGCAGTGAATTTATGATTATGAAAAAAAAAAGAAAAAAAAGACATATCTGCCAATGCAAGGGGAAAACCTGTTTATATAGCCAGTTGACATTTCTCTTAAGACTTCATATCTCAAATGCAAAATGTATCTTGATTTAAGGTTTCTGGACATTTATATTTTGTTAAAAAAAGACAAGAATACAAAGAAAAATGTAAAACTTTCTGCTCTGATTTAAGACCTTTTCAGGCTTTAATTTGTGGAAGGGCAAATTAAGACTTTTTAAAACCATGAATTGGGGCAAGTGCAAACACACTATATGATCTATGTTTGGGCCCAATTTATGGAAGGGACCAGAGACACAGAATTGCATATGCTCATACACAAAGGATCCATAAATCATTACATAAGGCAATACACTGACAGCCAGTTTGGGACCATTGACAGAATCTGATATTGGAAGTGATGTACTACTGTACATTAGTGTTTAGTGTGTACAGACATTGACCTGTAGAAGCTGCTGCTGCATGTGGATGAACTCTTTACACTGCTGTAACTCCATTCTCATCCGCTGCATCTCCTCCTCGTGCTCCTTCCTGGACATCATCTCCTCTCCCTCGTGCTCCTGACTCGCCACCAGCGACGCTGCAACACAAGCACAAGCAGTGGCATTGGTGATCAAGGCCCGTTACAAAAGAACTGACTCTAAAGAGTGTTTTGTCTAAAATTCAACATCACTACAGTTTGCAAGAACAGGACCAATATGTAACAGATGAAATATTTTAGAACAAAGTGTAACTAGAAAAATGTATATTTACTAGGACCCTATATAATCTCTTATTTTTTTCCAAATTCATTTTAATGGTTAAATTAAATTTGAGTAATCAAAAAGCATGTCAAATTTATTGAAATCATGAAACATACACAATTTATATATATAAAAAAAAAAAAAAATAGGGGCCTATGAAATTTGTTTTATTTGTTCTCAAATTCGTTTTTTGTTTTCATTTTAATTTTTCTGGATTCCATTAAAATGTAATAATCAAAATGATGTCTAATCAATTGAATTCATAAACAACTTGATTTATTTTTTACAATAATACGAAATATTGTTTTTGAAAGAAATTCTGTGTCGTGTAATCAAATGACAGCATAAAACATTGACAACTGAATTAATCTTTTAATCACATGAAAACTGAATGTTATGTAATGATTTGAATTCACCCTATTTGCGTCATCACAATTTTCCTCTTACATCTGTGACCCTGGAGCACAAAAGCAGTCTTAAGTCGCTGGGGTATATTTGTAGCAATAGCCAACAATACATTGTATGGGTCAAAATTATAGATTTTTCTTTTATGCCAAAAATCATTAGGATATTAAGTAAAGATCATGTTCCATGAAGATATTTTGTAAATTTCCTACTGTAAATATATCAAAACTTAATTTTTGATCAGTAATATGCATTGCTAAGAACTTAATTTGGACAACTTTAAAGATGATTTTCTCAGTATTTTGTTTTTTTGCACCCTCAGATTCCAGATTTTCAAAGATTGCCAAATATTGTCCTATCCTAACAAACCATACATCAATGGAAAGCTTATTTATTCAGCTTTCAGATGATGTATACATCTCAATTTCAAAAAAATTTACCCTTATGACTGGTTTTGTGCTCCAGGGTCACATATGCATGTGTAATCAAGGACATTTGCTCAACTCACGTCTGTCCAATCATAAGAGTGATACCGCCGAGTAAAACTGTCCAGTGTTATTCTACCCCACCTCCAAAACCTAAACCACGCAAATTCCTATAAAAGATTATACCATTTGAAGTTTATTTTTAATGAAGTGTCTGAGTGACTGAATGAGAAGGTTTTCGTTTTATGTTTCATTTCACAACAGACCTCTTCTTAATTATTCTCACCGTGCTGCTGGTTTTTCTCAATATGTTGTATTGAAATCTACAGCACTGCCAAGTATTTTGTCCCTGGAAGCAATTGTTGTCGCACTGGTTTATTTTGCCCATTTACTTCAGAACACATACATTTATAGATCTGAAAAAGCATTTAAGAAGGAAAGCAACAGCCACACGTCGTACCTTGGCTGTCGAGTCTCTCCACGTGGCTCTTGAGCTTCCTCCACTGCAGGCGGATGCTGTTGGTGAGCTGCTCGCGGGCCTGTTCACACGACTGCTCCAGACTCTCTCTGCTGCAGTCACCAATCTCCTCCTCACCCTCAGAGACAGCCTGATGAAGGGATAGTTCATCCAAAAATAAAAACTCTGTCAATTACACGTCCTCATGTCATTCCAAACCCATAAGACTTCAAACAAATAAAGATATTCCAAGACAGTCCATTCCACCAACACAATAAGTTCATAAAGAGATTGTAAAAGCAATCCAAATGAATAGAGCCGTTTAATCCAAGTCTTTGAAAGAGACACATTCGCTTTATACGAACAGATTTGAATTTTTTTATATAAATATGAACATTGATCAACACACGTACTGCACATTTAGCACAAATGTGACCCTGGAACACAAAACCAGTCATAAGGGTCGATTTTTTGAAATTGAGATTTATGCATCATCTGAAAGCTGAATAAATAAGCTTTCCATTGATGTATGGTTTGTTAGAATTGGCTGAGATACAACTATTTGAAAATCTGGAATCTGAGGGTGCAAAAAAAATCTAAATATTGAGAAAATTGCTTTTAAAGTTGTCTAAATGAAGTTCTTAGCAATGCATATTACTAATCAAAAATTAAGTTTTGATATATTTACGGTAGGAAATTTACAAAATATCTTCATGGAACATGATCTTTACTTAATATCCTAATGATTTTTGGCATAAAAGAAAAATCAATAATTTTGAGCCATACAATGTATTTTTGGCTATTGCCACAAATATACCCCAGCGACTTAAGACTGCTCCAGGGTCACACAAATATGGTAAACAGAAGCTTAACTCCATTTTCTTTTTAACCATATTTGATGAGCTGTTTGTATACTGATCAATGTTTGTATATGAAAAAAAGCCTAAAATAAATCTGTTCATCACATAAAGCTCATGCATTTCTCTCCGCTCAGTCTTCATTTGGATTATTCTTACAATCTCTTTATGAACGTTTCGTTCAGTAACGTTCATAAAGTAATCTGCCATGTTCCATTAAAATATCGTTGTTTATTAAAGATGAACAAAAGTCTTACGGGTTTGGAACAACATGGTGAGAAAATTATACCAAAAATAAAACAATATGTATGCATGTATATTATAACTCCAGGTAAGATTTTAGAAAGAAATTTTCAGTATTATCTAATGTACAAAAGTAGGCAAAAATGGCTAATTAGGTATTGGTTAGTCAAAAAGGACAGTTGATTCAGAGGTGGTGCCTTTCATGTTGACTTAGGTTTATCGAGTTGAAACGACACTGTTTGATGCTTTAACATGAGATGCTATTTACAACTTTAAACAACATGTCATTGTTCATAGAGTGTGCGAGGAGACTTCTGACCTGCTCGAGGCTATCATTCGCTGGCTCTGTTTTGACGCAGGGTTTCTTTGGGCTCAGAATGGTGATCATGTCCTTCTTCATGTGCTGCAACACCTTTTTAAGCTCAGAGTTCTCCATCATCAGAGATCTCTGCCGTGTCTCATAATCACTCAGCAGAGCCCTGTACATCTCGCCCTCGTGTCTGACAGCACAAGAGCAAATGTTTTACACTGCGAGGAATACAAATGCCATGTCAAAGAGCCACATGAGCAGGTTACCTGGCCTCCATCTTTCCCGTCTTCCAGAGGCCTCTCTTGCCATCTGACCTTCCCACATGGTTTGATATTTCAATGGCTGAACACAAATGAAAACAGAGAATACAGAAATACTGTAAACTTCAAATCTTTCAGGATAATGTGAATTGTGAATGTTTGCAGTCTAAAAAGGAAAATAAAAGAATAAAACAGACATCTGGCTGCTTCACTATATTAAAGGTTGTCAGAAATGCAAGCTCTCACAGAGTTTCTTGTCTCTCTTGTCCATGAGCAGCTGGTTGAGACGTTCCTTTAGTTTGGTGCACTCTCTCTCTTTCCGCTTGGTGTCGTGGTTGTACTGCGTGGCACGGCTAGAGATGATGCTCTGCAGTTTCTGTACCTGCACCATATTAATTACACATAGAAAGAAGTAAGGGTGCTGTATGATTATTATGCAGGGTATATGCACAGTAGCCTACACTAAAGTCATAAAAAAAATTACTATAATATTACACTCTATAACTAGAATATAGTCAGTGCATGGTCATGTACAAGGTAAAATTGTCCCTGTTTCCAGCAGGTATTGAAGGGATGGTCTACAAAAAACATTTTTTAGTAACCAATCAGCTTTTGGTCCCCATTAACTTCCATAGTATTTTCATCCATGCTATGGAAGTCAATGGCTACCAGCAACTGGTCGGTTACCCACATTCTTCAAAATATCTTCTTGCAGGTTCATTTTTAAGTGAACTATCCCTTTAAGATGCACTTTTCTTTATCCAGAGTATGGTCGGCCAATATGCATTGCAGTTTTCAACTGGTATTAACATGCACCTCTAACACGTCTTTTGATCACTTGTGATCACTTCCTCATAACACGTCTAGTAATGATTACATATTAAGTGAGAGGCGAGTAGGTGGTGCTGTCTGGGACACATTTAGGACAGACAGCGTTTCCACTGCAAGCGATCGGGTCACATTTGCCTTTGATACTACAGATCATGACATTCTTTTGGTTGACTTTTTTTACCACTTTATGTTAGCAAAAGAAGTGTCATATAACCCACAACTTCAGAAAGGAGTGACACAGGGCTCATTTTAGGTCAGCCAGGTTACACACAGACACAGTGGGGACCATATGGTGGAAAATACATTGCTATTTTGCATTTTCAAACTTTGTGTTTGAGAAACAAAATTGTAGTTTAGTTGAAAGAAAATGCTGGAACAAAAATGCATTAGCAAATATAGGGCAACATGGTGGGGTGCAGTTGGACCATGTGAACTGAGTTTCTCTTACTTCCTCTTTCTCAGACTTGAGCCAGTTCTGTAAGGTTTTGATCTTCAGCTGTAGCTGTCGCTCACCCTCATGCAGGCCCGAGTTATCTCTCCTGGTGTGCTCCAGCTGGTCCTGAGACACAATTACACAACAGTAGTAGAAATTAACAGTAGGCTGCTTGTGTTTTTTGCGTAGAAATTTTACAACACTTTCCTCTTATTTCACTATTTTATGGATAAATTAGTAAACTCAGCACCACAGCACTGTGCAAAATAGATCTCACTTCACGAATGTTGAATGTGTTACTGGTAAAAAATAAATAAATAAAGTCATACTCCAGACTGTAACTGAAACTGTGGCAAATTTGTAGCATTTTCTACCATTTAAAATTAAGTCATCATTAGCAAGGCATCAAAACTTTGTGAAATCCGGTGAAAAGGCATTAATAAAAAATAAAATAAAAAAATCATCGAAATCATAAAAATTCATATTCACTACAGAAATCTTCCAGACTTTTACAGGAAGATTTTACTTATTTCCCTGACTATTCCAGGCCTGGAAATCACATTTTAAAATTCCTTCATATTTCCAACCCATTGTTTTGTCTGGAGTAAACATAGAAAGTGGAGTACTTTGAGTCTACAGTTGCTGTGCTGCAGATGCTCGAGGTCACTGCCGTTCTTTAGCTGCTGCGTCTCCAGCTCATGTAGGGCTCGCTGAGCTCTCCTCTGCAGCTGCAGTACTTCATAGAGCAGGTTCAGAACCGGCACAGCGCTCAGACTGCCTGATTTAGACTCTAAACTCACTCCAGTCAAGCCCAGCGAACACACCTCCTGAGGAGAACCAAGACAAACAACAACTTCAATTTTGGTTAAATTAACATTAATTGCAACACTTAATTCCTATGCAAACTGACATGCTAGTAAAAAGTCCGAGAACTTGCATTGTCCAGTCCGGACCCCTTTTAACTGTCATATTTTGTGTTAGTTAAATTACTCGTGTCGGAAGTGTGAAGTAGACACAACAATCTTAGCCATTTTTATATATCACTCATCTTGCGCAAAATGTCCGAATAAACAATTAATTTACAGACATACTGTATATCCTAAAAACTAAATCCCCATTACTGATATGCTTTAAACCATGTCATTTTAGGTCAAAGTACTGGCTGGGAGTCGATGACCTCTGATGGATGAGAATCGCAATATGGCCGTTCAAAAAACACCATTGGTTTTACCTCCGTTTATAATTCTATGAGCAATCTATTAAGAAACAAGGTGGAAACATCTTGGATATGTAACCCTGGTTCCCCGAGTAGGGAATGAGACACTGCGTCATTAGCTGACTCAATGGGAACACCTTCCAAGTGTTACTACAGAGTAATATTACAGAGTGTCTTCCAGTTTATGAGCCCGTGAAAACACAATGAGAGAAAAATGACACCTGTTCAAACAGATAAAACCTGGGAACCAAGAGTGAAGTCAACATCCAGATTATCAAATCGAATAAAAGTGTGTAGAGAGGCCCAACCTGCCGCCACACAAGTATCCTCTAAAGTCGCATCCTTTGATAATGCCTGAGAAGGTGCAACACCTCTCGTGGAGCGAGCTTGAACGCCAAGAGGCGAAGATGTGCCACTCACCCAAGTCGCATCTTATACCCAATGCAACATCCGTTGTTTCATAGTGGCAACATCCTTGTTGCGGCCACTAAAACACACAAACAGCTGATCAGATTTACAACACTGGCTCATGCAGTCAACGTTAATCCGTAGCATATGTGGTCTCTCATTCTCCTACGACTCAAAGAATGGAGGAGAAAATGACTGCAACGACATCCAGAGAGCAAAATGAAGGAGAAGCTACTTTTGATATGCAACCTAGCTTCGGCCACAACAAAACCATCACTATACTGGGAGCAATTGCCACTACATACACCTTGAGTGTAGCTGGGGCTGCACCCGTAGAAAAATACTCTTGAAGGAATGCCAGCACTGAACCAACAGGGCAGGGATCTGGACTGTGATTGTGCTCTCTGCACAGTGACGCAAAAAAAAAAACACCACCACTTAAAAGCGTATAGTCTCCTAGCAGAGGGTATCTCCATTATCTCTGGTCAAAAAATGTAAGAGCCTGATTCAAAGACTTAACCAGTAGTTTCCACATTTCTTGCCAGGGATCCCACATGCTGCCCCGAGCCTGAGAGTATAAGGGCTTGTCCAAATACTCACACTTGCGGTTTTTGCAATTGACCACTTGTCTACTTACATGATGCATTTCCTGTATTTGGCCCAAGTGTTCAAGTGAGCATGAAGACCACAAGTGTGTGTAGAACTTTTCATTGCCTGATGGGACACACTTATAGTATTGTTAAATGCAAATATTTACAGAGCTTTATGTTGATTTTCAATACTTGGCATTTTAAAATAAACTTTTAAACATCTGTTCAGTCTCTGTAACACAAGACACAATTTAGTAATTGTGGTGCTTCTAATAAAGTGATAAAACGCACTTGTACAAAATTAACACTCATTTTTGCACCAATAAAATTAGCAACCACAAGTGTGTGTAGAACTTTTCATTGCCTGATGGGACATACTTATAGTATTGTTAAATGCAAATATTTACAGAGCTTTATGTTGATTTTCAATACCTGGCATTTTAAAATAAACTTTTAAACATCTGTTCAGTCTCTGTAACACAAGACACAATTTAGTAATTGTGGTGCTTCTAATAAAGTGATAAAACGCACTTGTACAAAATTAACACTCATTTTTGCACCAATAAAATTAGCAACATTTTGTTTTACTACCAAATTTGATGTAATATCTAATTATTATTAATATTTAACTTACACTGAAAAGGTTTCCGCAACCTCTCGCGAGATCTCGGCAAAAAGTTACTATTTATTTGCAGACCATGGTGCATGATAGGATACACTTAGCCTTGAATACCATTCCAGAGCATTTTTTCATTCTCAAGTGGGCAAGACTGCAAGTGTGGGTATTTGGACAAGCATTTACCAAAAGCATCTATGGTCGCAAGTTCCAACATTACCAATAGAGTTCAATGGAACTTGTGACGCATAGTTAGCTAACAATGCTTTTGGGAAATGCTCCTCAGATCTCCCAAGGAAGCTCCTCCAGGAGAGACACCAAACCTGAGAACAATATGGTGAAATGGCCAAAATGGTGATACCAGCACTCTGTCCTTCCGGACCCTCATAAGAACTGCCGGAAGCAGACTTCGTGGAAAAGCACTCAGATGGACCATCGGCAGCACATAAGCCAGAGTGTCCATCCCCAGAGACAATAGAGGAGACAGAGAGAATGAAATGGGGCAATGAACGGTCTCGCTCAAAACTAACAGGGCAGATCCACTACTGCCCTGTCAAAACTCTGCTGAATCAGACCAACGGTCTAAGAATGCAAATTCCATTCTCCAGGCCTCAACCTGTACCCTGAGAAAGAGCAGCTCCCAGATTCAAACCACGTGGGAGATGCAACGCCCTCAGCGACAGAAGCTTTGGAATGGGGCATAAATGCATCCCCCCTAGTGGTTTCACATAAGAGACCACTGACGTTGTCCATCCTGATGACCACATGACAGTCTCTAATGTCTGGAAGAAAATGGCTCAAGGCTAAAAACCACCATCACCTCCATGCAATTAATGTGCCACATGAGATGATCACCTTTCCAGACTCAATAGACTGGATGTTTTTCAAAAAACTGCACAAGACATTTATCATCGCCTTGCAGTGACAGACTTTGCCCAAAGGCACAAACTGCCATCTTTTTTCAGCACTAGAAAATACTGGATGTAGAAACCAGATTCCCTCTTGGGAGGAAGCATTTTCTCTACAGCTCCTATCTGCTTACAGGGAGTGTATTTTCTGCCCTAAAATTGAGCAAAATATTATTAATGCACGTCTCTTCAAAGCAATAAAATAACTGTCTTTGAAAAAAAAGTGCATGTTTAAATTGTTTATAAATCAAATATAATTAAGTTGCTTAGACAATTAGAAACATGTATGTATTTATAGTTTAATACAAAGGACTGAAAACCAATCACAAATAGTACTTTTTTTTCATTTAAAAACATGAGATGCAGTGGGATGGGGAAAAACCACCATAAACTCTCGAGACATGTTTTTTTAAAAGTTGAACTTGCGTTAATTTTACATGGCTTTCTAAACATGCGGCTCTCTTGTGCGAGACACGAGTGCAACGGTGATAGACGTCCCTCTAGAAAATGTGATAAATATGCATTCTGTGTGAACTGCTTGGTTTCAGTTTTGACGTAAACAAGACCTTCTCCGCATTGATGTTCTCTTTTTCCGCAATATTTTGAATGGAGGTAGCAGTGCCGCATCTAGTGGGTTCAACTGGATAAGCTAAGAAAAACATTAAAATGCAATGACACTTACATCGTCATCGCGCAATTCTTGCATGCCACTGATAAGGCTGCCTGATGCACACCTAAAATTCGAATGCAACGTTTTTGCATTCGAATGTGGATTTTTATTTTAAATTCAGCCCAATTTTTTTTTGACAGCCCTAGTGGTGGGCAATGAGGGGGGTAGTGCCAAAATTGGATAGTGCACCTCTTTTATATGGTTTGCAGAACCCAACAAGAGACATTCAGCAGATGTTCTGCCAAATGAACAGAGGCATCAGGAATTTTACAGCTGAAGCCTGTGAAAGAGGGTCACTGAGGCTCATATTAGAGCAATGCAATTGCCAGATCAGAGAAAGCCTTCTTTGTCTCCAGTCAGTGCATGAGATATGAGCGTACCAAAACGTCCTGTGCCTCTGTCTGTTGCAAGCCTTCACAAATGGGACCTTTAAGTGGCTGAGCAGCAGGTAAAACCCATCCCATAATGTAAGAATGCACAGCCTGACTCAAAATAATAGGTTCAGTATGCAGCATGGTGGCAATGCTTCTTAAAAGCACATCATCATAAACTTCTGGGCTCCGTAGGCATTGCTATGTGGCACGCAAACAAAAAGATTGTTGTTCAACACATGGTCAGAGATGTGAAATGGCAAAACAAACGGAACAGAAGGGGGCCTGTCCTCTCTTTTGATACCCATTGTTCAGCAACACGTTTTGTGTATATGAAAAGTCAAAGACAAATTTCCACATTAGTGGACAAGAAAGGGTAATCAACAATTCACCGCATCACTGAAGAGCCCCAACTGGGCAACAGGAGCATTCAGGACGTCTCTCTCACACATACCTGGGAGATTCAACCACAGATCTCTACCACAGATCTCTCTGTTGCCACCAAAACCGCCATAGAATGATGGTTCGTGTGAGCCGTATGCTTCCTGACTTGAAGTGACTGAGCTTCTTGACTGCCTCAGGAATCAAGCCAGCCTCTTCTTCCATATACTTAAAGGGACAATTCTTCTCCTCCTCGTCACCTTAGGGTGCCATTTTGGAGAGTATCACGACGCACGTGCATGCTCTCCTTTAAATGTAAACAAGGCGTGTTCAACGTACGTTGCACCATGTGCATTTGTTGTTTATGCGCAAGAAAATCACGCATGCATCGTGATACTCTCCAAAATGGCGCTCTAGGGTGATGCGGAGGAGAAGAATTCTTCCAGCCTAGGGTGAAGTCATTATGTACATTAAAGTCCACGTGAACTGGAAGTTGCTGCCGACTTTATTTCAGTATAGTGACTTATTTCCAACTGAAACGAAGTATTGAGTAGAGGGTGGGGTTTTATTTTAGTGCTCCTCCTCTCCAAGCCGTCAAACTTACATCATTCCAGAGTGGAAGCAAATGTTCAGATTTTGATTACCAAGATAAACCACATTGCACGGATTAATTGTTCACCTCAAGACTAGAAATGTGCACTAACAAAGTAAATAGAGTCCATTTGGATTTCATGAGGACTTTAACAGCAATTTGGGACATATATAATGTAATTTAATGGAGAACTATGTGAGTGGCGTGAGATTTTGAACAGCCTCCTGAGTCGTAGCTGGGCGCCGCGGACAGCATGTGGTTCCACTGCGGTGCATGTACTCATAGAATACAATATGTTTGAATTTTACATTTAATTTATCATGGCATGTGTCACAACACTCAAAGCTCTAATCCAAAGAGGGACACATTTCTTGGAAAGAGTGCCGCTCTGACTATTGCCAAACTCCTCAAGAGTCCATTACAGCAGTAGAAAGAACACTTTCCCAGCCGAAAGTGCAAACTCCACCAGAGATACACATGACATCTGATCTGGTGAGAGCGCAAGAAAAAGGGAGCAATCCATCAGCTGATCCTCAATAGCCTCAAGCTCAACACTGGATCTCCAGGACCCAAGCTCATGAGCCGGGACCACAAGGGATGACTGATTTTCTCATATTATTCATAAAGAGGGCCTTAAACAAAGGACTTCACTGTTAAATTATTGCAGTGTGAGATATTCAAAAAGCCATTAAGTGTGGCTTGAGCATGACAAAGACCCAAACTCTTAACACACTTATCATGTGTGTCCTCACTCATGATGAAACAAGGAAACAGAGAAATGCGAGGACATAGCAGAGAAAGGCGCTAGCGCAATCAGCCAATGAATCCGCACCATTCTGTACGGACTTCAAACAATCGTCACAGACCACAAGGGATGACTGATTTTCTCATATTATTCATAAATAGGGCCTTAAAGGACTTCACTGTTAAATTATTGCAGTGTGAGATATTCAAAAAGCCATTAAGTGTGGCTTGAGCATGACAAAGACCCAAACTCTTAACACACTTATCATGTGTGTCCTCACTCATGATGAAACAAGGAAACAGAGAAATGCGAGGACATAGCAGAGAAAGGCGCTAGCGCAATCAGCCAATGAATCCGCACCATTCTGTACGGACTTCAAACAATCGTCACACCTGGAGGGTGTTCCCATAGGTTCACTCGAAGACAGGAACATTACTCCAAAATAATCTTAAGAGCTAGAATTACGGCGCCTTAAAGGTAGAAGTACATCTGCCCTGTCCCTCACATTTATTCAATGGGACTGAAGCACCACTTGCACTGTTCGTTTGATGTTACATGTGCAAGACCACAATAAATGGAGCCATGGGGACTAAGTAAACGCTGTAAAAACGTCACTCTTTGCTTTGCGTTTAATGCTAGTAAAACTTACATTTAAGTCTATTTAAATCATTACATTATCCATGTTGCTTTATTTCTCAATCACCAATCAGATGAAAGATAATAGTAATAGTTTAACCCCTGACATCATCATATCCGACATGTGAGCAACTCCTCTTGTAGTGTACCTGATTGATATATGCGATGCACTGCGATATGTTCTCCTCAGTGCAGAACGCACTTAACACGCTGTAGGAGGTTTTGGGCAGAGCCATGGTGGAATGCAGCGAATGGTGCAAGTTTTGCCTGGAGGGAGACATGCTGATCCCAGAAATACTGGAAAGCTCTTTGGTGTCTGTACAAAAGACAAAAGAAAAGTTATTAAAGCCTGGCGAAACTAGACATGTCTAACATGACTGTTTTAACATGGTGCCGTGTAGCTGCAAAAGAACTAACCTGGGAGAGTTTAAGTTGAGGAAAAGTTTTAAAATAATAATTAAAAAAACATACTTCAGGCAGTAGTGTTGCCAAGATATTGAATAAAACAATATGCGGTGCATTTATATATTTGATAATGAGTTAAATGAAAATGGTCTGAAGTTTTAATAGGATTTCAAGATGGTCTGCTGATGATCTGTGTGAAATGTGGTGAAGATCAGACAATGGTCTAGAAGTTTGAAAAACTAGGTTTTATACATTACAATTCAAAACGCAGAAAAACTAGTCTGAAATTGAAACCATGCTGGTTTTGACTCTTTGCATTCAGCTTTGCAGAAGTTCAGGAAAAAATAAGAATTTTGTTTCTAGGCCTTACAGTTCAAACGTTACTAGCCTCGGCATGAGTGCAGATTTGACCTGTTGGTGGTGCTAGAGGGTTTTAGATAGAGATATCAAATTTGCTATGGTAATATTGTAGATTGTCCTCTATCTGTGTGCCAAATTTCCCCAAGTATGGTCCTTCGGGCTGCAATAGAGTTATTAGTGGAGCAGGACAAGAATAAGAAAGAGACTGCTTCGGTGATCGGCACCTAATAAAAATATTAGTTCACTAACAACCAAAATGGTGTCATTATTTACTCACCCTCATGATGTTCCCCAATAAGTATGCTATTATGTATCCAAACACAAATTTGACCATTTTTGAACAAACTTCACAACACCTTTTCTCCCCCCATACAACAACAACAACTAACAGACAAATCTGTTAAGATTAGAAGTTTTGCAGATATGGTCACTATAAACTGACTGTTTGATGGAAAACAGTTGCATGAAGATTCTTCAGAAATGACTCTTTTGTGTCAGGCTTGGAAAGACATGAGGATGAGTAAAAATGGTAAATATTCTTTGTTTGTTAAACTATTACTTCCAACATATTACAGAACAAAAAAAAAAAAAAAAAGAGAGAACAGGGAGAAACATTATTTAATATTGTAAAATTTGCTTCAATATAATGCAACACTTCACAGATTAATTACAAACCGTGCTCAAATTAGCTCAGTCTCTTAACAAGATCAAGCCGACTCAACATTTCAATGTTTGCTGCTCACCGAGAGATGGATCTGGCATCATTGTTGGAGTCCACCAATCTCCCATGTCAACCTTCGGCTCGGATGGGATTCTCCAGTGTCCTGCTCATCCAAATGAGATGCAAGGCTGGACACAAGTGGCTGGGCCAGAGACAGAGGCTAGCACTCGGCCATCGCACCTGAAACCGAAGAGAGGCGCACTGGATTACACAGCAGAAGGCCTGTGAAGCCGGATTAAACAGCCGTGGAATCCCACTGCAGGATTACCAGAAGCAGCGGGGGACGGAGCGGGTGGAGATCACACAGAGCGAGAAAAGCATAAAGCACAGGAGGATTGATGTGTCATACAAGTGCATTTCCCCCCAAACCAGTTAAGTGCAAACCCCACCCCACAGCCCATTTCATTGGTTAAGCCATTCACACAGACACTTGTCAAGAAAAGATAAGACTTCACAATTCAATTCAGAATTCAGGAAAAAACATGGATGCATCCAATCGCGAAAAACAGTAAACACTCTGAGGAAGTGCTACCAACAACACAATTGTGTAGTAGACGATCAGCTATGCAATTAACATGACAAATGAAATGGGTCTGTGCCTAAAAAACTAAAAAAAACTTACTTTAAAAATGTTTCTCTTACATATAATTTTTTTGTTGTTTTGCAGTGCAATTATCTACACATTTTCAAATCAAGATACATTTACTTGAGAAGCAAAATGACTTAAGATATAATACTTATTTTCTGAAAAATGTATCAAAATTAAGTGACTATGCTTAAAATAACAAAAGTATCTTAACCCATTGGGATATATTGTCAATAGAATGCTTTATATTATATTTTATGTTAAGCAAAGGAGTTATGACTAAGGCCCAAGACATTGTTCCTTTTTCCTCCTGGAAAATTAATTTGCATACATTCATTTTTCATATGCTTTTTATCCACACCATCAAATCCATTGATATTTGCAAGGTACAATCTGTAAATTCTCTCTTTCTTTTCTTGAAATATGTAAAAATTAGTGCTGACAAATGATTAATCGCATCCAAAATAACAGTTTGTTCACATAATATATGTGTGTGTACTGTGTAATTTATTATGCGTATGTATGTATGTATGTATGTATGTATGTACAGTGGGTACGGAAAGTATTCAGACCCCCTTAAATTTTTCACTCTTTGTTATATTGCAGCCATTTGCTAAAATCAATCACGATTAATCGTTTGACTGCACTAGTAAAAATGCATTCGATTTACTTTTTTACTGTTGTGACAAGTTTCCATAATGCATATTTATCAAAATATATTCTATATGAAGTGTATATACATAAAGTAAAATATTTAAGATGTATAAATGTGAATATAAAGGTGAATTATGTGTTTCAATTTACACATTGTTTGGTGAACAAGGATGTGGAATGGTCCCGATCCCAATTCCCCACTCCCTCTCTTGCCCTACTTTCCGGTCTACACTCCACTGTCCTATTCAGAGAGACTAAACTAAATCCAAAAATAAAATGTGAGAGGTCATAATGGCAGGGTTTGGAAAAATCCTACTTGAAAAAGTATAAGCAATTAGTAACAGATGCTTATCTTAGCAAACACCGCTATGTTATTTTCACTGGGTATTTGCAGGTTTTGTAGAGTTAGATTAGCCACTTCAAGTGAAATTTAAGGCCAATTTCACAGTAACAAAAGGGCTCAATTCTAGCATTTCTGAGCTTTTTTAACAGGTTTTTCCCACCATTTTGTGCTTTGAACTCTGATTCCACTGTCTGCATTCTTATAATATACATTCAAATGACCATGTATACACCTGGCCAGTTTCTAATAATAAAAAAAAGTTAATTATTATTAAAAAAAAAGCAAGCTTTTCCGACTACCCCAAGTATGTGCTTTCAGTGATCTGATCACAAAATGTTTTAGACCTGATTTTTCCTTTACTTTTGATTTTATATGGTTTGTTCTGGCATACAGATTTATGGATGTGTGAACTAATATGTTAATAATTAATCCTCTATGCTCCGCTTCTTTTCCTTATGTTTTAAACTGTACTTTGTTTTCAGTACCTGTTATGAAAAACAACATTGCTTTCTGTAGTCAAGGTCATTCTGTTCTGAGAGGCTTGGGCGGTGGAGAGAGGTTTATCAAGAAGATATTAGCATGCTTAGGGAGAGAGTAGATAAGGGACTTTAACTCCATGTCAGCAGCTGGAGTGATTCTCATTCTTCTGATTTCACAAGAGCTCTCATGGATGGGTGGAACATTAACTTATATGACATTACTCTCATTTAAAGCACGGTTGTAATTTAATATCCTGCTCCTCAACAAAAGCCAGAACTGATCAACTCAGCACAGTTACAGAAGCAATACAGGAGGAAACTAAACAGTTTTACTCCCACTACAATTAATATATTTTTACCTAGTCCACAAATCCTGTACATTTTCAAATCTCAAAAAAAAAAAAAAAAGTTTTAGTTAATGAACATGCATTATATAAAATATAAATGTATAGCCCACACGAGTCTGGCCTACATGCTGTTTTATTACTGATTTTATTATTACTTTGTTTAACAACTACATTATGCACCTGCTTTCCAACACCAATGCCAAATGAGTTATTGCTTCAAAACGAAATGACATTAGAGCAAAGCAACCCGATTCAGTGGGATTGTTTGGGTTTTATCACTAGATGGCAGAAACGTGCACTGCGGGTAATGAACCCAATACATTTGTATTTGAAGAATTTTGCCATCACTACTTAGCGACACTAGTTACACCTGATTCTAATATTCTCAGTTCTCACTATAACATTGCTTATTTGAAAATCATATTTCACACACATTTGTTTACTCGCATTCGCTAGCATTCAAAGGACGCAGTGGGTCTGTTTTCAGTCAGCTAAGCTACATAGACAGCATTTTTGGGCGGATTTGAACATGTCTCTTCGCACCTAGACGCGCTGTCTATGTAGGCAGCACACTACAATTAGAGACACAGCCGGAGTTTTAGCTTTAGCACAGCGGCTAACACACAGTCACACAGGTTGACTTACATCAGCTGCGGCTCCACGGATCCAAGATACAGACCGATGAGGTTTTTCAGACTGGTCCGTGTTTAAAGTGTTTAAAGATGCCGTGTGTTTGTTTGTGTGAGACCGCAGCGCGAGTATCACCCACCTGCCCTGAAGCGCAGGAGATGTTTGGATGATTTGAAGTGCACCTCTGTTCTTCTACATAAACAAGCACTACTCTCATTGGCCAGCCTGTTGTCAAGCAACCAGCAACTCGCCATTTGATTGGCTGGACCATCCTTCCCAGTGTTGCCAATTTAGCAACTTTTCAGATTACCCTAGCAACTTTTTCTTCCAAAAGCACCTAGCAACAAATGTAGCTATCTTTTTTTTTTTTGCCAACTTTTAGCAACTTTTGATAAGTGACTCAAACGATAAAAAGGCACACATTTTCCATCTAAATTAGACAAAAAGAGGAAACCAAAGATGCCTAGCAGTGCGCACATCACGTGAATTAAGTTAACTGCTATTTGCAATTGTTCAATAATAATTAGGTGTGTTCGACTTGAAGCGGCGCTGCGCAGACCGATCGGTGTATGACATCAAAGGCTGCGTTCACACTGGCACAAAAAATCAGATCTTTCGCTCACATCTGACACAGATCGGAATTTGTTGCACACGTGTAAACACAAAAACCCGCACGAGATCCGATTTTTTTGCATCAGATCTGAGCCACTTCCAAATGTGGATTTTAATCGGATACACATCTGATATCTGGACATCCGACCTACGTCTAAACACACATATCCGATTCTCCACAGAACTCCCAATGTGAGGGCGGCACGTTTGCACTAATACACTGCTTAAAACTAATTGTTCAGAATGTGCTAATACATTTTTTTTTACTAGCTAATAAAAAAAAACTTAAATTGTAATTGTTAAAAAATGTGTAAGTGTTCAATAATTTAATGCTGTATTTGAAAATACAGTTATTTATATTTTAATATTATTATATTATGCATTTACATTATTTTACGAACAAATCGAAATTAACTGTAAATAATAAAATACACAAAGAAATGTTATTGATTTACTTGATTTTGTTTAACATTTATTTGTTATATTATATCTATTTAACCTATTTTCACTCGTCTTTTATTAACTGATTTATTTTCTTCTGTATGGTCGAAACATGGAATATTAAAAAAAAAAAATGCTAGTGCTGTCAAACGATTAATCGCGTACAAAATAAAAGTTTTTGTTTACATAATATGTGTGGGTGTGCTGTGTATATTTATTATGTAGGCTAAATATAAATACACATGTGCATGTATATATTTAAGAAAAATATGTTATGTTTATATATTAAATATATTTATATATAATATAAATTATATTAATAGAAATATATACATGTAAATATGTTCAAAATATATACTGTACGTGTGTATTTAGGGCCTATATATACATAATAAATATACACAGTACACACATATAATATGTACTTTTATGTACAAATACTTTTATTTTGTATGCGATTAATCGCGATTAATTGTATGACAGCTCAAAAAATACGCAACTAAATAAATAAATAAACTCAGTCAAAAAAATCTCTCTCTGCATAAAAATTGTATGCACATTTTTATTTATTTTTATAACTATTTATTAATCACTTTTCTCCTAAATATTTAAGGTTGTGTCCTTAATACTGTTTCACCATGGCCTATAACATACGTTTTACCAAGTTTTAGTGACTGGTTATCTGCTGCTGACGTCATATTTTCATGCATGCATGCATGCGCTTGATAGTTAATCAGGAACTCAAGACCAAAGTCTGAGATGACCGAGAAGCTTGATCATTTTTGTTTTGTCAGTTTATTGACAAAATTGAATTGCTGAGTTTACGACTGTTTGCAGAAACCATATTATGAACAGAAGAAAATGCATTCAGTCACAGGCCTCCTTATTCTCAGTAAAAAGTCAAACCACAGTTTTTAAATTGTGCTATTCATATGCATCTTATTTCATATGTAGCTTGATTTATTAGAAATTATTATTATAATTAATTTATTAATGTACATTTATTATCATTTGCTATAACATATTATATGTTTGATCTTGCCTAAGGGAACCATATACAATAAATTATATTATAATAATGCACAAGTAAGTTGGATGCTTCATCAGCATCATCAGCTCCTCCCAGAATCATTCTTTCCTTTTCAATTCATTAGCTACTAATGTGTGCAGGCAGCATGCTAACACAACATGTGGCAACATTTCTCCTCCCTTTCAAAATATGCATGTTTTATTATCGGTATTAATCGTTTTTTCGTGCTGTCCATGATCCTGTAAGAAAAGACCTGCAACCCATTTCTAGTCACGGCCCACCAATCGAGAGCCACTGGTTTGCAGCAATGCATGAGATGCTGAGCAATGCAGTTTTCTCATCTGTTTCAGGTGCAGTTCACACAAGGAGCACAAAGGCACCAGAAGGTGGAGGATTGCTCATCCACAATGTTCTTCCCCGACTTCGGTGGTTCTTTGCATTCAGCTATGAAAGCCTGCAGCTCTGATAGCGGCGCTCTATGCTTCTGATAGTGCTGCAGGTAAAGAGAGAGCAGAGTCATGATGTGTGATCATTCACGGTGCTTGCTAAGACTGTCAGCCTTACAGTTAGTTCACAGTATTCATAGTCACAATAAGCCCATCACTACTCCTCACAACTAACCCAAACTTCAGCACATAACTTGCACATAATCGATCACATCCTAGTAATCACGTATCAGTGTGTTAGCGCACCACAAAACCAAAGCATGCACTTGAATAGACTCACCTTGATGGTTTCATAGGTGTCTGTGATAAGGGCAATGAAGAGGCTCAGAATCATGAATGTAAAGAGTGGGACGAAGGTGTAGATATACATTCTGCTGAACATCCACACCAGATCATTCTTGTCTCGGATTTTGGTGAAGGTTGAGTAGATTTCATCCCCGTTAATCATGGAAAAAAGGCAGTTAGCTACCATATTAAATGACCGAAACTGTGGAGAAATAAGCATTTGCATCATTTTCTTCATAAAGCAGGGATGCCATTGTTTTATTTTAATTTAAGCCACTTAAATGACTAGCTGATATTAAATACTCATACTCCATCTAAAACTATTTTTTATGCATGTAGCTTTTGTGAGCTCATGTATAAACTGCACTGAATATTTCATGTAGTTTTAAAAATTAATTTGTAACTGCATGCATAGCCATTTAATATGTTTACACTTTATCTATACAATATTTATTTTCTTTCATTTTTACTGTTGAAGGCAGGATTTAATTTAGGATTTTCAGGTTTCAAGGTTTCACGCTGTACATTAGTAAACAGCAGGTTAGGTCTTTATTTGCACATTTGCAGTGTCAAAATTACTGATTGAATGAACGCATCAAGCAATCTATTTAAATAATGGCTTATCTCGCAGGGTTTAGGGTTAATTTTATTTGTGAAAAACAAAAAATGTAGCATGAAAAATGTAATATAGTTTGTGAAAGCTTCTGTGATCGTACAAAGCCATGCATATTTAATTCAGGGTTTAAAAACATCCTAATTTCATCACCCCTTTGCCTTTGCAAAAATGGTCCTATAGCACATTAAATTAGTTTTTACATTTACAAATATTGTATTAATCCTCATATAGTATGAAGCCATACTAATAATAAAAGAACAAAGAAAAAAAATGATGTCCACTGTATAGAATAATGACAACACTGTACATATACTGTGATTATATAAAGACAAGACAATATATAATAATGTAAGAAGTATACGCAGAAGTATAAGCATGGGAAAGGTTTGACACAACGTCTGAAGCAATAAAGGTCAAACTTTCACAGTTCATGCTGGCTTTGGTATGTTATAGTCATGAATATATTTTTTAATATTGCTCACATTTTCATGGTGTGGCCCCAAAACGATCCATCCGCAGAAGCAGTAGCTAAGAAAGATCATAACAGCGCAGAAGGAGAATCGAATGACGTTAGGAAGTGCAGCCTGCAGGGTGAGGATGAGGATCTGGAGACACAAGAAATACAGACTCATCACTGTCTAACATTAATTACTAAATACACTGAAATACACTAAAAGTTCTTGCTAATGCCACTTTATTTTTTTATTTTGTATTTATTTTTAAATGTGGCTTAATGTTTAAAAAACACACAAAAAACGAATAAATGAGCGACTTACATAATATTTCTGAAAGAACCTCAGGTAATGCATTACTCCAATCCACACAAGCATTGTTGCTGTGCCCAGTAAAATACTGCACACATCATAACTTGTCAGTTCCTGAAAACAAGACAAGTACTGAGCATTAGTGCATGCATCTACACTATTGTGCCTGTCAGCTCATATGATGAACAGAAACAGACCGTGACTTAACCTCTGTTGCGCATCTCTTGCTCACCTTGCTCTGTATGCATATTTTGAGAACTGATCCTGCAATAGTCAGCGTGTCACTGATGATGATGAGAATGTACCAGCCGTTGATGAACTCCATTCTCTCAGACCAGAAAACTCTTTTATTGAGGTAAATGGATGCGAATGTGGTGTACTCCTGATGAGAAAGCACACGCATATGACATGTTAGTAGCAGGCATTTATTGTTTTTTAAAGTATGATATAACTCATTTGACGTCTGTGCTGCAGTCATTTTGGATAAAATGTGTAATTTGGGTAACACTTTAAGGACCAATTCTCACTATTAATGAGTTGCTTATTAGCAAGCATATTACTGGCATATTGGCTGTTTATTAGTATTTATAAAGCACATCTTAATGTTTTATTCTGCATGACCATATTGTAGATCCCTTAAACAAAACCCCAAACACCTCACTAACAATTAATAAGCAGCAAATTAAGACATAGACAAAAGTCATAATTAATAGTTAGGCTAGTCATTAGTGAAAATTAGTCCCCAAACTAAAGTGTGACCCCAAATATGGTTGTAAAGTCTTTTCCATAACCTACTGACTTTAATTTCTTACTTTTATGACTTTATTCCTGTAATATGACAACTTCACAACATTACTATTTTATTCGTATGCACCTAAAAATAGAATAGAATAGAATAGAATAGAATAGTGTTTTTTTGGGCTTGTAATTGTAGCTACACTTAAAGGGATAGTTCACCAAAAAATTAAACTTTGCTGTTAATTTAGTGTTCAGTTTCTTGCGCAGACCAATCGTTTCACTTCATAAGACCTCAATATATTGTCAAGAGCCACAGGAATTAATTTTGTGTTTTTTTTCTGCATGTGCTTTTTTGAGTCTCAAAGTGCCGGTAGCCATTGACTTGCATTTTATGAATCACCAATGATCTTCTTTACTGTTCTACTAAAGAAAAAAGTCACCTCTCAAATGACCAGAGGCCATTTGCCCAGTCTTATGAAGTGAAACGATTGGTCTGCGCAAGAAACTGAACACTAAATTAACAGCAAATTTGAATTTTTGGGTGAACTATCCCTTTAATGGGACGGCCATATCAGACGTACAAACTGCAAGAGCATGCCGTTGTAGACTGAGCGTGTGCAGAGGATGAGCGAGAGCAAACAGGAGCAGATCACCACACAGTCGAACAGAACGATGAGCTGATAGTGAAGGTCTGCTGGAACAAACACGGCAAAACAGACTTTCAGACATTTTCTCACATACTATTAGTTAGTTACATGGACAACATAGGTAAATCAGTGACTAGAAATGTATTCATCATCCTCATTTTTCATGCAGTGCATAACTGATCACATGAACATGTTGAGTGGGGGGTGTATCGAAAATCAGTAAGGAATGAAGCTACAGAGGCCCTAGAAAGAACTTGGACACTTAAGGATAATACAAGTACATTTTCAAGTTTGCAAGGTGTAATACAAACAGTACTTGGACACTTTTTTTGGCTGTCAAATAACAGTACAGTGAGAATTTCAGCACAAAGCTTCCATTTTATTGGTCAAAAAGTGAGATTTAGTAGTAAGCAGCTAAACATTTGTGACCCTGGAGCACAAAAGCAGTCTTAAGTCGCTGGGATATATTTGTAGCAATAGCCAACAATACATTGTATGGGTCAAAATTATAGATTTTTCTTTTATGCCAAAAATCATTAGGATATTAAGTAAAGATCATGTTCCATGAAGTTATTTTGTAAATTTCCTACCGTAAATATATCAAAACTTAATTTTTGATTAGTAATATGCATAGCTAAGAACTTCATTTGGAGAACTTTAAAGACGATTTTCTCAATATTTTGATTTTTTTTGCACCCTCAGATTGCAGATTTTCAAATAGTTGTATCTCGACCAAATATTGTCCTATCCTAACAAACCATACATCAATGGAAAGCTTATTTATTCAGCTTTCAGATGGTGCATAAAAAAAGACCCTTATGACTGGTTTTGTGACTGGTCACATTTAATATTTGAAAACTGTGTTATGATAAAAATGTTAAAGCAGAATAGAGCTGAAAAGGGGCGGAGCTACATAAGGTCTGTATGTACACTGAAAATCACCTGGACAGCAAGTGGATCATAAAAGTGAAGCCAGCTCTAAGAAAAGTTGTGGCATTACGTGTTTGCAGATTGGTCACTTGTTTGATATTTAGTATATAATCATTCATAAATGTTTAAGCCTGCCTGAAGTTTCCAAATATGCTCTAATAATTTAGTTAATGTCATGACTATGATGACTGCTGATTTTGTATAGAGGGGATTTTGTGTTCTTTTGTGTGTGTGTGTGTGTGTGTGTACCTACTTAACCATATTTGGGGGAAAAATTTGTACCCAAAAGTGAGCTAAATCTGACAAAATCTCCAAAAACCTCCCTTTGGGGACGTCCTCATTTGTAAAACTGTTATAAAAATAAAGTAAACAAAGTTTTTTTTTAATTGTAAAAATGCAGAAAGTTTCCTGTGAGGGGTAGGTTTAGGTGTAGGGTGATAGAATATACAGTTTGTACAGTATAAAAACCATTACGCCTATGGAATGTCCCCAATTAGATAGCTAAGTAAACGTGTGTGTGTGTGTGTGTGTGTGTGTGTGTCTGTGTCTGTTTGTCTGTGTGTGGTGTGTGTGTGTGCGGCGTGTGAGTGTGTGTGTGTGTGTGTTTGAGTGTGTGTTGTGTGTGTGGTGTGTGTGTGTGTTTGTGTGTGTTTGAGTGTGTGTGTTTGTCTGTGTATGTGTGTGTGTTGTGTGTGTTTGAGTGTGTGTGTTTGTCTGTGTATGTGTGTGTGTGTGTGTGTGTGAGTTGTGAGTTCTGTGTGTGTGTGCATGTGTGTGTGTGTGTGTGTGTCTGTGTGTGTGTGTGTAGATGGATTAGATTTAACAGGGACTTCTCATAGCACTCTTTTGTTAGTTTGCTTCAATTTTCCTCATTTGTGTTCTATCTACTTTTCGTTAAACAGGACAGATACACTTTGTTACACTTTGTGCCAAGAAGGGCCAGAACAGTATGCTTAAAATTAAGTATACTGCTAAGTACTAGATTATTATACATTTGTTGAATTAAATCTAGGGTGTACTCATTTTGGCAATCCTTCATTTAAATAAAATAGGCTAATTTACTTTTTACAGATATTAATGACATATATTTCTCTGTTTTTATTAAGTATATGTTTAATAAATGTCTGTTTTGCCATCTTTCCATGAATTGTATTAGTGATCAATAAGAAAATACATCTTTAGTATTTGTTCAGAGGGGGTGTACTCATTTATGTTGTGCACTGTACATATTGCTGCTCATTTGTTGGTTTGATTGCTTCTATTGCCCTAATTTGCATCTCATTTGCATCTATTGCCCCAAGTTGCTTTGGATAAAAACATCTGCCCAATGATTAAATGTAAATAACAGCTTTAAGTAACTCATAGATTAGAATATAAAAACATTAACCTAACCCTAAAACAAGAAAATTAAAGTATAAAAATAATTTAAAAACAAAATTATGAAATTATATATTTGAAAAAAAATCTACCTAAAATATATATTAAGATTTTTTTATGCAAACATTTAAACTTTTTCTCATTTGACTTAAAATAAAAAATATATATATTTAATTGTGTATGTATTTAAATGTATTTCTCTTACTAAAAGTAAGGACTAAACAGGCACAGTACTTTTTTTTTCTTGGCTGATGAGAGTTGATCACTACCCTGAGAGCAGCGGGACAGCAGCAGAGCACGTGGCACTCATTAGCATGTCTGTGTTAAAAAACGGCCAACAATTAGGCATTGCCCACACAACCACTCCACACACCTGTGCTGCATTTGCTGTGCAGACACTTTTGACAAACACAAATAGAGCTGCTTGTGTCATCATTTCCAGCCAATAAAGAGAACAGTATGAGAAATTATTTTAGGGCAAAATTGCAGTCAGCCAAATGTTGTTGTAAATATTCTGCACTGACTATAACAAAATATAAATAAGCCTACAGACAGAAATCCTTAGACTAGATTAAAGAAATCATTCTACCTCAAACCTTCCTATTTCATGTTACCACACTAATAATTTCTGCCCAAGTTAAATCTCAACTTGCAACTTGTCACAAACTTTGAATGTTGTTCATGTTCAATTGGTTTCCTAGGCTCAGATTAAATATTTTATTTTCTCAGATGTTGTCTTTCATAGGTTGCTCAGTTCAGGAAGTTCTCTGTTGTTTTAAGTATCATGTTTTAGATGTTATTCTTAAAATTCTTCAGTGTGTGTGTGTGTGTGTGTGTGTGTGTGTGCCTGTTTTTCTATTCTGGTGGGGACTTAAACCTGAATACACACAGACTCATGGGGACTTGTGTCACGGTGGGGACCTAAATTGAGGTCCCCACGGGTAAACAAGCTAATAAATCACACAGAATTAAGTTTTTTGAAAATCTAAAAATGCACAAAGTTTCCTGTAAGGGGTAGGTTTAGGGGTAGGTTTGGTGTAGGGCAATAGAATATACGGTCTTTACAGTAGAAAAACCATTACGCCTATGGAGAGTCCCCACAAGGATAGCTGATCAGACATGTGTGTGTGTGTGTGTGTGTGTGTGTGTGTGTTTGTGTGTGTGGGTATGTGGGTGTTCTATTTTTGGTCCTATATCACAACTTACTTGAGCCAGAAACCTTCCAGTCCTTGCAGACTTTTATCTGAACATCACTGCTTAGAGATATCTTGATTCGTCCACTGTGTGCATGGTTGTCAAACTTGATCTGTAACCGAACGCAGCAGATTACCCACTTTATCAAATGAACTTTAACCTGTCCAATAGGAATTCCAGCTCTGAGTCAGACATCTTCTGGTTAACATTGAGAAATAAAGACCTTGAGAGCTTGTGACGAAACGGCATGAAATCAACAAAATAAGTTGACATGAAAGAAATGGAAGCAAAAATGAAGGAGAAGAGGGCAATGTCTAGTCTTCATGTGACAAACCTCTATTAACCAATCCTGGAAACTGTGTGGTTATGACTAGTAAATGGACTTTTGGAAATGTGCCTTTTGAAACCTAAAGCAGAAGCAGCTGTCTTTGGATGTTAAGCAAACAGAGAATTAAGAGTTTCAAGACAGTTGCACTTTATGCACTTTAGACATTCTACTAACTATAAGTACATTTGCAGCTACATGTCAGCTATCTCTTTTGTCTCGGTTTGTAGAATAAGTTGACATGTACTTGCAAAGATAGGCAGTAGAATGTGTGTTGTTGAACCATCAAAATAAAGTGTTATAAAGCAGATGACTGCTAGTTGACATGCAAAGTTACACTTACAAAACAAAGTGTTATCGTAAAGACACGTATGTGTGACATTTAACACTTACATTAACGGTAAAGTCATAGCAGTCCGGTAACTCCTTATGACGCACTGTTTGAAGGCTGATAGCCTTCACTTTGAGATAGATGTTTACTGCTAACAACCTGGAAATGAACCACAAAAATGTCAAGTCAAAAATAAAGCACAAACTCAATGAATTTAATGATGAATGATTCAAATATAAATGTAATGTACACACCTTTGAAAATCTAAAGTGAGGTTCATGCCATTTTCCAAATCATCCTTCTTGTAGAGTGAAATGGGGTAAATCCAAAGACATTCTGCAAATCAAGTAAATCAATCAAAGACCAAAAGTTATTTAATGTTACAGCACATTTAACTTCTATCACAAAAGTCTTTGGTTTTTCATCTTAATGTGACAGTGGATGTTTACTATTTAGAAAACTGTGCGCAATAACTGTATGACTTCTGCCATCCTTACCACAGTAATTACATTAGATTGTACAGCTGTGTTATTATGACAAATGATGATGTACCTGTCTCTACATGTGGATCAATATCAAAAGTCTCATTGGCTGGTAAAACGTTAGCATGTCGGTATAAGTCTTGACAGATGGACAGAGGAGTGAACACGTCATCAATCCTCTCATACGCATGATTATCAACCGTCAGGTTTTGTGGGTGTAGATACTAAAAAAACAATCAGACAAATCAGATGCAAGCGATAAAAGAGATTAAATCACGCCACCTCTATGAAACGTAATATTTAGCTCATATATAGTGCTTGTTTTGCACATTTACATGCATTTCATGATTAATATTTAGTAAACTCCACAGGTCTGTGCAAATCCTAGAGAACAATGTTATCCAGCATGATTTCAGCATATTCCATTTGCATATTCGGTTTGCATTCGTAGGAGAGGAGGGTTAGATTTAACTTGAGTTTCTTTGAAAATCCGATCTTTTTCTGCTTATTTTAATGTTCCAGTTCTCACTGTACATTATAAATATGCACTGAAAATAACTGAAACAATGTCATTTATTTAAAATGCATTGTCTAATCAGATAATAATGGAAAATCATAGTTTTCAGTTTAAACCTTTTCTGTTTAGTGTGTCTAAAAACAAATAACACTCTTCATAGAAAAATGAAAAGAAACTATTTTGTTTAAATAGTGTGTTGATGTGCGGAACACATACTGGTTTACTAGTTTTACTGACCGCAGAAATTATCGTAGGTTGGTTGGCTTATTTATTTATGATAGATTTTTTAAAAGATTATATTTTTTAAAAGACATCACAATAAACATTGAGGTCTTTCAAAAACAATGTTCCCATCTTTAAGTGAACTAAATTAAACATTGAGTAACAAAATGTTTTTAGTTGATCTTGAGTAAATTAAACATCTGTGACCCTGGACCACAAAACCAGCCATAAGGGTCAATTTTTCGAAATTGAGATTTATACATCATTAGGATATTTGGTCGAGATACAACTATTTGAAAATCTGGAATCTGAGGGTGCAAAAAAAATCTAAATATTGAGAAAATCATCTTTAAAGTTGTCCAAATGAAGTTCTTAGCAATGCATATTACTAATCAAAAATTAAGTTTTGATATATTTACGGTAGGAAATTTACAAAATATCTTCATGGAACATGATCTTTACTTAATATCCTAATGATTTTTGGCATAAAAGAAAAATCGATCATTTTGACCCATACAGTGTATTTTTGGCTATTGCTACAAATATACCCCAGAGACTTAAGACTGCTTTTGTGCTCCAGGCTCACATATAGTAACGAAATGTTTTTTTTGTTTACCTTGAGTAAACATTTGACTTCCATATTATAAGTAATTTAGCTTTTGTTTATGGTGAAATAAATAAATAAATATATATTGTATATTGCAATAAATAAATATATATTGCTTGTATCTAAATAAAATAAATTAAGTTTATGGTTAAACTTAAAGAGTTTTAAAAGTTAAAAGTTAAGACTTTTTATTTTATTTATTTATTTTATTTATTTTTGAAGTTGGTCCAAAGCATGCTTTTTTTCAGTGTGTACACTGTAAAATATGACCGTGAATTAAACGGTAAAAGACTGTAAAAATGCTACAGTAACAAAAAAGTGAATAACCGTAAATTGACGTTCCCAGAATTCCCTGCGTTACATTTCAAATTTGATGTTTTTTTTGTTGAAATAACTATGTTTCCTCTTAGTTTTTTCTTATCAGTTTTGTATATTAGGGTTGTGTGTTACACCTAATGTTGTTAAATTAATGTTTATTGCATTATTTCAGTTTCATGTGTGTTACCGTGATGGTGTTTAGTGTTTGTGTGAATGACACTGTGCACCTTCTATATATGTTATTATTTAAAAGCTGCTTGTGATGGGCTTTGGTTCATCATGTGACTTTCTCATCACCTCCTGCATTTGGTGGTTATCAGTGTATTACAAAGGTACAAAACAGATTTCAGTACTTCAGTAGGTTGGTATATTAACATTATATCAGTTAGTGAAATTACGTATTAGTACGGTTAGTAAAACCTAAAATGTTGCTACCGTATTTTTTATGGTAAAATTCCGGCAACCACAGCTGCCGTTTTTTTACCGTAAATTTTACGGAATTTTTTTTTACAGTGTAATCCAAAGCACTTACCCTATTGATTATGTACAGGATGTGGTCATGAACCTCGTGTCTTGTGTACAAGGCATAATCTTGATTTCTGTCCTGGTAATTTTTCAGGAAAAGATGTTTGAAGGCGATGATATTTTCCTCTTTGAAGGTGACCATCATCTCATTGCTCAATCCAAAAGAAACTAACTGTGGAACAAATACAACACGCAGGCAGATCATAATAAATTTTATAAACAATATCATCAAGAACAGCTTATCTAGACTAACAAATTGACAGTAAATGAAGTGTGAAATTTAGCTTTGAAATAAGACACATGGTCACAGTCATATTTCCAGTTTTACGAAACAATTGAAATCTAAGGATGGTGAGACGCATGAGAAACTACTACATATTAAATGTAATGCACTCTGAAAATGAAAGGATTTGCATTGGTTATTGAATTAATCTGTGTAACTTAAAAGGTTCTCCTGATGTGGCAGACTACTGCTAACAGACTACTAAAAAACTGATTACTTAAGAGTAAATATTTAGAATAACGTGGATTTCAGCATTAAACTAACTTATATTGACCACTCAAAATGCAGTAGTTCTGGAGTAAATCCCATACCTGGAAGGTAATTATGACAATCTTGAGTATCTGCAGCATCATTTTCCACGGCTTACGACCTCTGGCTCTGTACTTCTGGCATGGACTCATGAAGAAATATTTCAGTTTTCTCCTGAAGTTGTCCACATACTGAGGGTCCACCTGTGATTTAGCTGTTCTGTGGCATGCCGGGTGATTATTTGGACCACCAGACAAAAAATGCTCTCCGTCAGCCATTGTGCCAGCTCACTCTGAAATCAGGACGATGGACTGACTCGACACTTAACACACACAGGTTTTTTTTTTTGAGGAACTGAAGCTGTTGTCTCGCAGTTTTCAAACTGGTAGAACCAGAGCTCGTCTTCAAGTTGAAGTGCTGGTAAAAGGTCTATCAGATAATTTCACATTTTTTGCCGCACATCAGATAATATGCAGATAAAACATTTCTGAGCAGGTTGTGCAGCATTCACTTCATTTGTCTGCCACCACTTGTGGGTGTGGATGTAAAAGTATAAAAAATAAGAAAATGCTGCAGTAACTAGCCTACATGAAGTCTCATCTTTAAATGAGAGATAAATAATTCTCTTTAACATATTTGTAACACATTTTGTAATAGTGAGTGGAGTCAACCAAGCTGCGAAAAGGGCTTTCACACTTGAAATATAAACCTGGGTTATCTTGCCTCATGTTTCACACTGCTCATAATTTACACAGGGTTAATAGTAGGCTACTGTGTTTTCATGAATTGACGTTTCACACATTCCTAACTGCGAGTTAATGTTCTTATTTGCATATTTATGGAGTCAGTGTCATTGATTGGATGAATGCAGCACTTGACCTGTTTATGCATTGGGCCTCGTATTATCCACCTTTTTCTTGTGGTAAAAATGGGAGCTGCCATTTGTAAATTCTATGGGTCTGGCTTCCGGTCTCATCTGCGTCAACTCCGTCCAGCTATTTTTAGCTGAACAAAACAGTTCGTTTTGCTGCTTGATATTGAAAGTTGCTGTGTCTTATCATATTATTTTAATGTATTGTCTTAATTATGAACACACTGGTTTGTAGTGCAAACAGTGTTACCGTTTAGCCTAATGCACGTTGTTATTCTCCTCATTATTTACCTACAGCGGCTAATGAACCGGAAGTCTCACCCATAGGCTTACTTCCGCGTTGAAGAAATTGGTGGATAGGCTGTGTTGCTGACTGTATTATCACGTTTTCTACAATGGACGGATTGTAAGGTAAGAATTAAGCGGTCTCTTCTTCACTCTAGTTGACGCGGTTTCATTCACCACATTTTCCCGCCAAACGCAAAAACGACGCGGGTGTTCCCGCATGCTATAGCATCTAGCCGCAACCAAAGCTGTTGAAAATTTCTAAAAACTGCAACATTATGAAACTGCATTATTTCACACTTTTCACGTGTGGCACAGTGTGAAGCTTAAAAGCCGTGCTAATCCTGCTCAAACGCGGAACGACGATAACCCCGGGTTAAATGCAGTGTGAAAAGCCCTAACAAGTTCCTGTATCATTTTAAACTTGCTTTTCAATTCATCATGTTGTTTTTCAGACATAATGCTGACTGAAATGTCACAAGCATGGCTGGTGGCAAAACCAATCTTCAGAATTCCAAGCTGACAGCACAATTGTGTTGACAGTCCATAAAAAACTGGAAGCTGGTTATTTCTTCCTTAAGTGTAGTTAACCTTTAAGGTGTTTTAACACATATTTTAGCATTTGTGTCGAACAAGTGTACAAATAAAACTTTGTTTGATGTTTGAAGTTCATGTGACTATGAGATTTATATAATGTCCTTGAAGAGAAAAGTCAGTCAAATGAATACACATGTACAGATCAGTTGGTTATAATTATCAAATATGAAACCCCCATATTGTATTTGTATGGAATCAAATTATCAAATGAAGTGTTAACACTTTATATTAGGTGGGGTACTTTACATGTAAAGTACTTGCATTTAACCCTAACCTTCCCAGACTTCAAACTCATTAGCAGTTAAAGTGGAAATTTTCCAGAACAACATGCAGTAGATCCATATTCTTGAATGTATTTAATGTTAGTACATAGTAGTTAAAGCCACCTAATATAGTGTGACCAATATATACACTTTTATAGCTATTAGCTGATGATCTTTAACTATATACGACTATATAACTGTTTAACAAAATATAAACACAATGCACATCATCATTATTATCATAATGACATAATTTAATACCATTTACTCTTAATACCAATGCTCTAACAGCAAATGCACAAGGGACACATATTTAAAAGTTAAAGGAATAAAAAATAAAAATAAAATAATTCACTCAACCTCATGATTTCCTCTTTTTTATAAAACAAAATGAAGTATAGCATAACATCCAGACTGTTCTTCTTTGTAGAGTGGAAGTGAATGGTGACCATGACTGTTATGCAAGATTTTTAGTGAACAGTGACCTAAACACAAAGCTTCATTAGGCTTGATGTGTAATGCATTAATGCAGTCATATGGACTCACTTGGTATTTTAATGCTGTTCTTGTCTCTTTATGAACCCAATAAAAATCTTTTATCATTACATTATTTCAAGGATCCTCAGTAATGCACTGTAAAAACTGATCCATTCCAGAAAGAAACGGAGGTAACAATCACACTCAATTTGGTTTGGGTAGATTTAATCCCATGTAAAATCCACCCAAAACTACCTACATTTAAAGGAACACTCCACTATTTTTGAAAATAGGCTCATTTTCCAACTCCCCTAGAGTTAAACAGTTGAGTTTTACCGTTTACCGTCTGGCGGTAGCACTTTTAGCTGTAGCTTAGCATAGATCATTGAATCTGATTAGACCGTTAGCATCTTGCTCAAAAATGACCAAAGAGTTTCTATATTTTTTCTATTTAAAACTTGACTCTTCTGTAGTTACATCGTGTACTAAGACCGACGGAAAATGAAAAGCTGCTATTTTCTAGGCCAATATGGCTAGGAACTATACTCTCATTCCGGTGTAATAATCAAGGAACTTTGCTGCCATACCATGGGTGCAGCAGGCGCAATGATATTACGCAGCGCCTGAAAATAGGCTAACTCCTGCCAACATAACCAACGTGACCACCTGCTTGCACAGGGAGCATGCTGGGGACTATTTTCAGGTGCTGCGTAATATAATGACGCTTTTCCACTGCGTGGTACGACCCGGCTCGGTACGGCTCAGTACGGCACGGCACGGCACGGTTTGCGTTTCCACTGCAGTTCAGTACCGCTTTAGAGTGGGCGGGATTATTTACATGTCGTTATAGTTGCGCACGACTCCTAAAAAAAACTTTTTCATTCCGCGTCACCTCATCAAGCTCTCGCTGGATCCGCTCCTCTGCTATCAACGAGAGGAACATCTGTTCTCCCGCAACGGACAACAAAACTTGGTTGTTAAAAAAAGGTGCGCTCGTTCAAAACAGTTGCGTTCGATCCTTCGCTGGCTGTGCTGATTTAAATCTAGCGGTTCTTTTGTGTTCCTGTCGCAAGTTCAGTGACGCAGGTAGTGACGATTCTCTTCGGCCAATCCGTGATCAGCAGAGTTTACACGTCACGTTTTGGTAACGGTACGGTTCGCTTGGAACCCCAACCGAGGTGGTACTAAAAAAAGTACCAGGTACCAGGTACTGTACACCCAGTGGAAAACCCCCCAAAAGTGAACCGTACCGAGCCGTACTATGCAGTGGAAAAGCGCCATAATTGCGCCTGCTGCACCCATGGTACGGCAGCAAAGTTTCTTGATTACCGGTATTAGTTCCTTTTAGCTACAGCTAAAAGTGCTACCGCCAGACCCGGAGATCGGCTGAATGGATTCGAAAACGGTAAAACTCAACTGTTTAACTCTAGGGGAGTTGGAAAATTAGCCTATTTTCAAAAATAGTGGAGTGTTCCTTTAACAGCACTCTACCTAAAGTCTAACATTTGTCAGTAAGTTACACAACTGTTTACTTGTAAAAGTGAGTAATAGGAACTCTTGACTTTTACTGTATGCTTAAAACACTTTCTGTAGTCAGCATAGCAAATGTTTGCAGTGAACAACTCTACACTGATGTTATATCACATCAGCATTATTGCTCATTGAGTGGAACAACATACTATAAAACTTAAATCATGGATCCACCCACAACTTAACCATAAGCTTTACTCTTCAGCACAATGGTAACTACAAAACCACAATATAGAAACTCTTTAAATGTCAGCATAACAGCATTAAACACCAACAGGTTTTTCCCTTTACTCAGAATTACACATTTTACTCTCCTATCAAATAAGCAACATTTACTGTCCTGATCCAGCCCTATGCAAAACATGCAGGGAACTAAAAATCCACTGCCCAGTTTGAGTTAATTCTAATTTCAAAAAATTCTAAAAATAGCACTTTACTTGAAGCCTTAGTTTTAATGCATTAATTATGCCTTGTAATGCACCTTATAATGCATTGCATGATTTCATGAATAATTGCAACCACAGTTATTATACAATGCGTTTCTATTCATTGTTACACCTTTAGAAAGTATTCAAATATTATAATGCATTTTAACTCTGTTACAATTATTTATGAAATGACACAATGCATTACAACATGCATTATGAATACATTTTTAGTGCATTATGAATAAAGGCTTTAAGTAAAGTGTTAACTATATGAAGTAAAATTCAGTTCTACATGATTGGATACATCTAAAGCAAGTAGAAAAAAAATTTTTCAGCATGAACTCATTTTAATTAAGCAGAAAAAAAGATTTGCAGTGTGACAGTGCTGTTGGTTTGGAGAATGTTCTGCATCTCACACATTGATGGAATGCATCGAAAGGTTGCGCTCCGACATGTGAGACATCGGAGACAAAGAACGTGAGCGCAGCGGCTGGAAATTAGCATCCCCGCTACTTCCTGTACTTCCACAGACAGCAGCATCTATATCCTGGAGGTCCATATTGGGCTCCTCGGGTAGCGGCGGAGCTCCGGGGTCTCCAGGTTTAGGCAGGCTTGATGAGATGGTGGAGGACACATTCGTGCTCCCAGCGCCTCCGCAGACCGACAGAGCCTCGTTCCCTCGACCCGATCCATAACGCAGGTTAAAGGATCCCGTAGCCACAGAGGACGACGGACTTCCTTCCCCTTCGGGATGATAGCATATAGTGGAGTACTTGTCATAGTCCGAGTCCATTTTGGAGAAGTCATTGGTTGCTCCTTTTGTGCTTGAATAACATGAATTTGCAGAGGACCCTGCTGCAATACATGAAAACATTGATCAGAAGAAAACAAGAAACTAATAACAAACACTTTATAAATTACTCTCATCAAACTAATGAATGTTACTTGTGATTTAAAGCCATTGGACAACTTTTTATTAACCACAGTCTACAGAAAGCACTTTTAAGAAACCCTTTGCAATGTGAAATTAGAAAGGAGTGAATGTATCCAGCTCTGTTCACAGCTTAAAGGGGTCATATGATGCGATTTCAAGTTTTCATTTCTCTTTGGAGTGTTACAAGCTGATTGTGCATAGATAAACCTACCTCATTTTTACCTAAAAAATGTGCTTCATGTGGTATTGCATTAACTGTTTTTTACACTGTCTACTATTATAAATTCAACACCTTGAACCCAACTGCTAGATATTACTATATATTCTAAGATGAAATATATACAGCAAAATGATACATTTAGAACAAATGTTACAGCTATGATATAACAAACCATCTGTTTCAAGACAAGCTATAAATCTGAACAATTTTTGCTGAAAAATAAAACCAGCACACTGAACTAAATCTGAACAATTAAAAAAATCACTGACAACATGCACAAGCAAATCACAGCCAACTGCCCTCTAAAATCTACTCATCATGACATACTCAAAATCTAAACCACTTCTGCTTCACTTTGAGTCACTGTTCAGCAGCATCAGCTCATCTTTTATTCACTTCAAGCTTATAAAACTCATTTTTAAATGTATTACTCTCTTCAAAGAAAGATAAAAAGGCAGACAGACAGTATATGTCTTATTTCCCAGAACGGGACAATGAATGGATGATCTTGTACGCAATAAACATCAATTTCATTTGGTGAGAGCTCAAGCTCTCAATGCTGTAATCTATTAATAACGAAGAAATATTTGTCCATGTTTACATCTGATATTAATTTGTGACCCTGGAGCACAAAAGCAGTCTTAAGTCGCTGGGGTATATTTGTAGCAATAGCCAAAAATACATTGTATGGGTCAAAATTATGCCAAAAATCATTAGGATATTAAGTAAAGATCATGTTCCATGAAGATATTTTGTAAATTTCCTACTGTAAATATATAAAAACTAAATTTTTGATTAGTAATATGCATTGCTAAGAACTTAATCTGGACAACTTTAAAGATGATTTTCTCAATATTTTGATTTTTTGCACCCTCAGATTCCAGATTTTCAAATAGTTGTATCTCGGCCAAATATTGTCCTATCCTAACAAACCATACATCAATGGAAAACGGTTTTGTGGTCCAGGGTCACAAATACATTTTGGTTGATCCAATCTCAAGTGGGCGATGTAAAATACGGGTGTAAATGGGGTCCAAAACCCTTTGAGCTTTTCCTCAATTTAGACATTTTGCATTTCTTGCATGGTTGATTTTTAACAATAATGTTAGCCATTTGTCAATGGCTGTTTACGCTCAAGCCTTAAAGGAGATGTAGCAATACAAATATATAAATAAAAATCAAGTAAATTTGGATTTCATAATGTAACCCCTTTAATTAACATAGGTTACCTTTTAAAGCTTCCAGTCGCTCATTTTTCACGCGCTGCACCTCATCAGTGATCTTTGCGATGATGAAGTTGAGCGTTCGGCCCCATTTGATGGACTCAATAAGCATGTCTAAACCCCGTGGGTTTTCTGCGAGGATATCCAGCAGCTTGCTAGTGCGTCTCCCTCTCGTGGTTCTGCAGCTGATCTCCTCTGTGTCCTCTCTGGTCAGGATCTTCTTCGAGCGCAAGTAATCAAAGTGCCGCTCTGCGATGATCTTATCTACCAGGTATGGTCGTAACCTGTCTATGGCCTACGATGAAAAAGAAACACGAAGACAAAATATTTAGAGGAATTTTTAAGGAAGCCTGTTTCCACAACAGGATAAAAAATAAAAAAGTAGTTTTGTTTATTTTCCATGATACATATTACTTAATATATAATTTAAAAGACTTTAATGGTCATATCAAATTGCCTAGCTGTAGGTTTTCTAATCAGGCCATGAATAGAATACATCTTAAAGGGATAGTTCACTCAGAAATGATACATTTTGTCATCATTTACTCACCCACTGACTTCCATAGTTTGGGGAAGAAGAAAAAAACACCATGGAAGTCAGTGGCTACCAGCAACTGAATGGTTACCCACATTCTTTAAATATTTCCTCTTGGATTCAACAGAAGAAAGAAACTAGGTTTGGAACAACATTTTTAATTTTGGGGTGAACTATCCGTGTTCATTGCATTGTTTTAGTGTTGTGTGAATTTTAATTTTTGGGCGAAGTATCCCTTTAAAAGTCCTTTGTACCAAGGGAAACGCTAGGCTGACCCACTTGCTCATGACATCTGCTGCATTCGACACACCTTCACCAGTGGTCGAAGAATTTAAATCATGACTCTTAAAAACTATATTCTATAACATGTACATATGTGTAGCATGGATACAATACAATCCAGACATACTACAATTGTTTCCCGTCTACTATTTAATGAATACAGTGAATTCAGTCCTACTACTCATTTCACATATGCTCAGACACTACTGTGATTTCTCACGAAAACCATTTTTTAGTGCAATTTACAACTTTTCTTCCCTTTTCTTTTTTTAAAAGAGAAGCAGGAGAAATGCTCTTAGAATTAAAAGCAGGTAGGCTATTGTTTTTGAAAGCTGATGTAGCCTACAGGGTTAAACATTTAACACAAAAACGCTGGACAATAACTTATGATGTCTATAATCTCTCTAATCTATAGGATATATGATTTGTCGCGTAGGCCTATTTAATAGCCTAAGTATGCTTGAAAGTTGAAGTGTGTATTTTATAGTATGATACTTTTTATAGATTAGGCTATCCACATTCCAGAAACAGATTCTGCGGTAAGTGGAGTGTATAAAAACTTAATGAACTGGCTTCCGAGAAGTCATTTAATGATTCCCATTAGTCTTTTCCACTCTTTGACATATTTAGCAGTTCGATCGGGTTTATGGTCAGCAGATCAATAGAGAACTGGCACCGCTTTCGCTTCCACCTCAATACAACGCATCATCTGGCAAACCCCGTCACGGCACTTTCGCATTAATACACAAGCACCATGAGTGCATAATCTAAATTAATCAGACTGCAAAAACACACACACACACACACACACACACACACACACACACACACACGGCATCTCTGATCTGTTTAACCCACATTCATACACAAGACACTTACTTCCTTCTTTATATCGGCCATTTCGTCCTCCGTCAGGTGAGTAACATCCATCCTGTTGTCTGCTTTTCACCTTTTTTGAGTTTTCAATTAGTTCTGGTAAGAAAATCTGACTACGAACTCAACATTAAAGACCGGAAACGCATGAAAAGGCTAGACTTTTTGACCATGCGATGGCGAAGCTTGAACTGGGTTTTAACTGAACTATCTAATAGTTCTCTTAAAGCAAAGGGGAACTACCCGGATCTCCGACTTCCTTATTTGATACATGCATAGGCGCACTTACGTCATACTGCACGCGCATCATCACCGTGCAGCGCTTTATGGAGGAGTATATATCACACGTAAAGTGCAGCATAACAAGTTATGCACGTTTCATTACGATTTATTCCGCAACATTTCACCGAGCTGAAAAGAGGACTCGCGCAGAACTGAATGGCAAAAGTGTTTATAGGTCAGTGTGTGACTCATGAATGACTCATTTGATGATTTTTCCCATACTTCTGACAAGATAAGAGATAAGATCAACTTTATTGTCCCAAAGGACATTTGTATTGGACACATACAATACGATATCTGCTGTTTTATACTAAATAACCTGTTCCTTTTATTCCGTATTTCAGGATTCTTTATTTGTTTATTTACATACTTGGAATATGGCAATTAGGTTGCTTTTTTTTTTTTTAAGATGTTTTTGTTACAGTGTACTGAGTAACATGTACTTACTATAGAGCTAGTTGCTTATAATTATGCATATTGTATTGTTATTACTATAGTAATACTATGGTTATACTAACAAAGTAGTAGACCAAAACTTACTAAAGATTCGGTTTTAGGGTAACAGTTACTGCGTCCAAAATGACGCACTATACACTATGTACTTATACACTATGCACTTATACACTATGTACTTATATACTATGTACTTATACACTATGTACTTATACACTGCACTTATACACTATGTACTTATACACTATGCACTTATACACTATGTGTGCAGCCCTACTATGCACTTATACACTATGGACTTATACACTATGCACTTATACACTATGTACTTATACACTATGCACTTATACACTATGCACTTATACACTATGCACTTATACACTATGCACTTATACACTATGCACTTATACACTATGCACTTATACACTATGCACTTATACACTATGCACTTATACACTATGCACTTATACACTATGCACTTATACACTATGCACTTATACACTATGCACTTATACACTATGCACTTATACACTATGTACTTATACACTATGCACTTATACACTATGCAGTTATACACTATGCACTTATACACTATGTACTTATACACTATGTACTTATGCACTATGTATTCAACCATGTAGTGTATGAATTATATATGGTTATTTGTCATTCATAATCGGAGTCTGATAGCCCCTCCCCCTTCGCTACGTAAATTAAAGCTGCGACAGTTGAGTGCATGAAGTGTCCAACATGATATTAAAATTAGAATAATTTTTAATAATTTCTCCAAAAAGGGAATTTTTTGGGGGGTTCTAAAATAGATAACATTCAATGGAGGAAAACATGGTTATTACCATATAAATACTGTATACCCAATAAAGTGAAAGAAGTGCATTTTAAAATTTTGCATAATATATACCCTTGTAACGCTTTTGTGTCTAAATTTTGTGATGTAGCTGATATATGCACCTTCTGTAAAAAAGGAAGTGAAGATATTTGTCATTTTATTTTTCTCTTGTAATGTTTCATCACTTTTCTGGAAAGATTTGAGTTCCTATTGTTTTTCTAAAGTTAATATGAACTGTAATTTACACATTAAGGATGTTGTTTGCTTTTTTTGAAAACCAAAACAAATCTTTAGAATCTGCTGTCAACTTTCTTATCCTTGTGGCAAAATTCTATTTTAACAAACAAAGGTTTCTTAAGAAATTACCTACTTTTATAGATTTCTTATGTGAAGTAGAACATTGAATTAAATCACTAAGAGTAATAAATAACAAAAAAATGTATTTATTTTTTGAAGAGATATGATGAGATCTTTCATGTACCGTGATTAATACTTGTTTTGGTGTTTTTTTTAAAATCCTCTTTTCTTTATTTGTTCTGTTCCTGCCTTTCTTTATGTTCATAAAAAAGCTATTTAAATGCATCTTTCTTTTAAGTCATTGTCAACTTCTTTTTTTTTTCTTCTCCTCTTCCATATGTTCAGATGACATTGGATGTATTGTTGATACATTATGTGTAATGTATGCAAAGTTGTTATTCATTAATGTCAACTCTGAATTGTTTGCAATAAAAGAAAAAAAAAAAAATGAAGTGTCCAACATTCCACACTTCATTTTCTCGGTTATTTTATTTAAGTGCATCATCCGGGTATTTAAAGTGCACTTTTTCTTTTTGGAATTTTCAGTGTGAACGCACTACTCGCACTATTTATACTACAGAACGTCATAGAATAGTGCATAAGTACGCGATTTGGGACGCACCTAAGTGTCTTTATCATTTACACACACTGTTCATTGTCTGTTTCAGGATGTTCAATTCATTATTTTTACTTTGAGAATTGACAAAATATACATTGCTATTAAAATTTGCTTAACTTATTTGAAAATAATTCAGCATATGTGTAACGGTGCTTTCTTTAAATTATAATTGTACTTTATAAATTATGCAAATGTGATGCAAAAGTTCAGATATGACACAATGTAAAAATCATTTAAAGGGGTCATATGATGCGATTTCAATTTTTCCTTTCTCTTTGAAGTGTTACAAGCTCTTGGTGCATAAAGAAGATCTGTAAATTTGCACAGACTAAAGTCTCAAATCCAAAGAGATATTCTTTATAAAAGTTAAGAGTTAACCACGCCGTCCTAAAACCGCTTTTCAGACCGATGAGCTTTGTAAAAATCGATGCAGAAAGGCGGGGCATAGAGGAGAAACAATAATGTACAGTATGTGGAAAATAATGTGTTTTTTGAACCTTAAACCGCATAAACATTTCATTACACCAAATACACAAAATAATGTTATTTTTAGCAACATCATATGACCCCTTTAATTAATAGCTTTTCATGAACTCACAAACCCCCTTAAATTCCCTGGTTTGATAAAGCCTGATTAGGATGTGTTTATTCACAATGTTTTTTTTGCACAAACTACTGGCAGTACAAAACAGATGTGGAATAAATTTTTATAATCTATTAGTGGGGGGGGGAAATTATAGTGTACAGAAGTACACAAAAGGAAAAACATACCAAAATCTTTTCATGAAACTCTTTCAAAATGGAGATCTTTATTGTTACAAAACAATTTTTGTCGAAATTATACATGGCGTTTCATCCATATTTTTTTGTTGTGGTTCAAATCTGTCACTTCAGCCAAATGTAGGCTTCATTCTACAAATGATAACACCGTCCGTTTCCGGGAGTTAACAGGACGTTTTACCATCAAAGCTGCTCTCCTCCTCAATCTCTGGTCAGAACTGAAACCTCTTCTAGATGCTGACGCACAACACCGTCCAGGACTTTGCTGAGACCTTTACACGCCGTCATGGCTGCCTCTATTAAAGCATCCAAGTGGTCCTGGTGGAGCCGGGCGTCCATCTGCAGCAGGGCGATGTTTCCGTTGCGGGGCAGCAGGGCCAGCGCCAGAGACATTCCTCCTCCGCTCTCCTCTGCGTGACACAGATCGGCCAGCGGCGTGTCCTCCACAAAACCGGCAGTGCAGGCACACACATAGTCACGCATGGGAATGCCAGCGTCCACCAGAGCCAGAGTAGCAGCATTCACACAAGCACTGTAGTTCCCACCGTCTGCCTGCAGAATCTACAGCACATGACCAGAGACAGGGATTGTGGATATTATAGCCAATCAAATGCGATACGATCTGAACTTTGTATTTTAAGTGACTCTTTCTCCTAGAGTAACAAGATATTCAAGTTGCATTTCTTGATGCAGCAGCAGACTGTGTTAAGTGACAGCAGTTTTCTGAAGTACTCCTGAGCCCATGTCGCTATATATAACACTGCAGCATGACGGTTTCTTATGCAATGCCATCTGAGGGCTCAAAGGTCAAGCACATTCAACTGAGGTTTACTGCCTTGCCCTACATGTACTGCGATTTCTCTGGATTCCCTGAATGTTTTCACAATATTACGTGTGGTAGTTGGTGAAAGAACTCAATTCTTTGCACCCTCAGATTCCAGATTTTCAAATAGTTGTATCTCGGTCAAAATTTGTCCTATCCTATCAAACCATACATTGATGGAAAGCTTATTTATTCAGCTTTTCAGAAAAATTGACACTTAAGACTGGTTTTGTGGTCCAGGGTCACGTATAATTCTTTATAACCCGTTACTACAGGTTAGCACACACAATTAGCACTTCTAGATTACATTTAGTTTAAGTTGAGTGCTCTTACCTTAACGTAGATGTCGATTTGTGATCGTGGGTAGAGCTCGGTGAGCACCGCAGCTTCAAAGGTCTGTTTGAGATGAAGGCTCATCTCGCTGGACTTGCGGTCTCCGTGTGGACGTCTCTTCCTCTCCGCCGTGCTGAACGTGGCCATGCTGTACTGACAGTTAATGACTGCACGATCGTGCAGAGATTTACTGCGAGAGCCTCGCGTCTACAGGGAGCCAGAAAAATCATGTGAGGACAGTATGGATAAATGACACAAAATGCAGGTTTCTTAATGGTGTCTGTCTGGAGTAACTGCTGACACATACTGAAAATGAGAAAGACTTAAATCCTAGCTGTTTGGTAACAGGAAATGACAAAAACGTATTAACTGAGATGGTGTGTTCGAAACACTGCTTCAAGGAGTTTTGAATCTTGTTGCAGTAGTTTGTATGTTGACCAAATCCTCGAATCTTCAAAAAGTTCTCCCTAGGTGCCCAGAGGATATTTACTACTAGTTTTGTGCTCAAAATATCATTGAAATCTCGCTTAGGGACAACAGATTTTATTTTATTTTTTTTTTCATTTAATTGTTGTGGATTATGTGTACTTTTAACAATTCAATGTTATTATAATGTCAAATAACATAATGAAAAATAGTAGATAGCAACCATTGAAAATACCAGATTCAAACAGTATTACAAGATTATGAGTATAAAAAAAAAACACATTACAAGCTAAAGAAATATAAGAACATATGATAAATAAAACTGTATTTAAACATGTGTTAACATTTTCATTTATCACAAACTTTTAATAGTATTGTATACAGCAATTAAACGCTATTTTGTTTGTGCTTTTGAAAATGGAACTTTACTATTTAGAATTAGGCCAATTTTGCATTTTGTGCTCAAAATGAGCCTAACATCGTACCTGCTTTCAGCAGATGTAACTGA